ATTAATATATTATTTTAATATTAATCTATTAAAATAAAAATTTATTTTTCAATATATTAATTTTTAAAATAATGAATATTTTTATTTTTATAAAAATTAATTTATATTTTGGACACACTGATCAATAAATTTTTATAAAAATTAATATCATATGACATTTTTTGAAGAATTATATAAATTCTTTATTAAAAGATATTTTTATTAAAAATATTTATTTTTATCATATATAGTATTATACAGTGCATTACCAAATACTAGATGATATGATCTTATACAATATATTATTTTATACAATACCGTGCCAAACACTTGATAGTATTAAAATTCAATCAGATCTTATACAATCAGGCCTTATACTATTAAGTCTTATACTATAAGGCCTTATCCTATACTATGCACCAAACATGCCCCAAGTGATCAAACTTTCTGTTAAAGTGGCCATTGACAATGTTAGAAAGGAAGTGGGGATGTCCGCAGAGCATTTATTACAATCTATTAAATATTTTTAAATTATTGAAAGAAGTAAGTATTAAATATTTTTTCAATCTCAATATATAACAAATACTTTAATCTATAAATATAATTATTCTTGTTTCTTTAACTAGTATTTTAAGATTACACATTATCAATTTCATCAATATGGAGGTGAAGGTCTTATGCAAAGGTTTAGGATAGTTAATTTATTTAGAAATAAACACATTTTAGTCTCTTAAATGTTTTATTATAAAATTATCCTTTAAATAAGTTTGTAAAACAATTCAAGTTCAAAATGATAATGTCAGAATTTTGTTTAAAAAAAATTTGCCTATAAATGAATATATTATACTTAATGTTGAATTTAGAAAGACTGAAATTGATTAAAACAAAAACAAACTTGTCCTTGCTAGGGCTACAATCTTAGAAACAAAAGATTGTTAGGTACAACGATTAGGCTTCTCCTAACCTTAAGATTCAATAATAATAATATATTAGTCGATAAAAAAAGTACTTATGGATAGGCCAATCAAGGAAATAAATCTTTCTCTGTGTAAAATTTAGACATGAAAGAGTCTATGAATATATTTAATTATCAGTAACAGAGAGAGGGCGGACCCAAGTGTTAGAGAAAGGGGGTAAGTGCCCACTCTTAAAATATGATGCAAAAATATAAAAATATTTTTCTTTTAAAATTCAAATTTTTTCAATTTAATTTTGGAGTAGGATATTATGACAATCAAATAGGGTTACTACCAATATTAGTACCAATCAATTTTATCATTAGATTGATTATGTTGATCCAACGGTTATATTTATTTTCATCTTTGTATGGTTATGATTCCCCATATCTAATACTTTATATTTATTTTCACCTTTGTATGATTATGATTTTTCATATTTAATGTTATTACATTAAATATGGGGATCATAACCATACAAGATAAAAATAAAAATAATCGTTGAATTAACATAATCGATCTAACGGTGAAATTGATTGGAAGTAACATTGGTGGTAACCCTAGTTGATTGTTATGATATCATATCCCTTTAATTTTCCTCCTATTTTATTTTCTCGTAAGTATTTTTTTCTCCTCCATCTTCATTATCCAAAACCTAACGGCAGAGAGCTCATTTGTATCTCATCTCCTCTCAGACCTCAATCTCCGTTATTAGAAGTTGGAACATTTATTTCTTTCTCCCTCATCGGTCAAGTTGAGTCGCAATCTGTCTAAATCTAGATCTAAACCAGACCCAACCGGCTCACTCCTGCTCGCAAGTCGCGTTCCAGACCAGACCCAGATCTATATGTACTTGAAGAGTGCCCACCCTTCATTAATTTCTTGAATTCGCCACCCGTAATAGAGAGAAAATTTGAAGCCCAGATTAATCATAGCTCGAAACATATTCCTAATCGGTCTTCGGTGGTTGCCAATTGCCATATACCAGCGTCGTGTTTGCACGCGCCTACTCATTGAACGATCAATGGCATGCATGCATATCCGACAAAAAGCCGTCCAGTGGGTCAACTGGCACGTAATCAGTAAGCCCATCACGTCAGCACTCCACGTCAAAAACTAAGACTGATCTTAGAGAGTGATTCTTACGAATCCAATCCTCCCTAACGATTTTTTTTATTTTTTAAAATAAGATATTCCTATTTTTTTTTTTAAAATGTCCTTCGAACATTTATTTTATTTAAGATTTCAATTTTGATATTTTTTTAGAAATGTGTTTTTTTCCACTGCACTCAATCTTTATTGGTGATTATCTCCTCTTCTTAAATAATAACATAGTATTTTGTTCTTAAATAATTCATGTACCAAAAAAAAAGACATAGTTCATTTGAAATATGACTAATAAATCCTACAATCCATTAGGTATTTAATGCTTAATAATATATTTTTAATCTATTTTTTAACAAGAACACTCTATCACACCGTAGGATTCTTATGTTGATCCTAATAGGAATTAAAAGTAAATACTTTAAAAGCTATTACTATAAAATAAAAAATTAATTAATTCATATAGATAATTCAAATTATAAAATTAGTGTAAAAGGGTTTTTCAATTTAAGTATTGCACTAATTCTTTATATATATAATTTAATATGGAGCATTACAATCACATAACATTAATGAAAAGGGGTCGTAATAACTAAAAACAAATATTCAAATATATTGTAACTCTTTTTTTTCTTTGACAGGGGAGTGGATGAGGACGAGATGCATTTATTGCATGGATTTGAATTTGCATTCCTCTTTATATATCTTAGTTTTATCAACTAAATTATCCTAACAGGATGTTTTTTTATTTTGTATTAACTATTTAATTTACATGCTTGATTTCTCTTTATAAAATTTCAACTATTTTATTGTATGTTTATACGGTTTGAGAATTCTTGAAATAATGTACCTTGTGAATTTTTTTTTATAAAAAACAGAAAAGACAAGATGCTGGTATTATATTTTTAACAATAGAAATATTACTCCATACTATACGAGAGATTTTTTCTGTTATATACATTCACAACTTAGAGAAGAGGAGAGAGAATAGAAAAAAAAGAAAAAATGTAAAACGAATCTCAACTTTGATTTATGAGTGTATAAAAGAAAAATTCTCTCATATAACATGAGATGAGAGTAATATTTTCTTTTTAATAATTAACGAAAAACTCAGTGAATTTCCTTTTCAAGTGTGAACACTGCTGGATTCTTGACAAGTACGTCTATGTTCCCGCGCCTCTTTTTGTTTAGTTTTCGCTCATTAATATAACAATAAAATGATAACAAGGCCAAGGCAAACGACAAGAATACTCTCTACTTTATTGCTGAGTTTGCAAAAATAATTATAAAACAAATAATCGATGCATATTCGAGAATGATAACATAATTTATTCAAGTTAATTATGCGTAATTGTATAGCAAATTATACACACTAATGTATTTAATTATTAGTGACTATGCTACATGACGCAAATGAAGTACCCGACCAAATGAGATGAGACGACAGTATCATTGCCGCACAACGAATGCCGAAATTCCATGTTACTATTGACTAAGAAGGTCCACATAAAAAAGATGCAACTGATTAAGCTTTGAACGGAAAGGATCATTGAATTAAGATGTCAAACAAGGCAAGGGAAACTAAAGCTAGCTGATAGTATTCCAACCGGAATATGAAACAAATAATGTCATGAAAAAATTGCCACTAGTCATGGATCTATCATTTCCACAAATATTAAAGCTGAACTTTATTTCCTTCCTATGTATGAATAAATTGTACAATTCAATGGAACATGACCAAACATTTTCACATGATACGAAGTCCCAATACTTTTTTTCCTACCTGACATGACCAAAAGAGTTGAGTAAGTCAAAAGTGCTCAGATTCCAGTAGATTGGAGGCCTATTTACATGGGTTGATCCATTTTGACAATTCACAATAACGAACATATGCGGTTCTGTGAAGGAAGACTCGCTATTCCCGAAATGTAATTTTAACGGCTAATATTACTAGCTAGGTATGAACATAACGGGCCCAAAACTTTCCGCTAACCGTGCCCCCTTTACAAAGAAGTTAATAATGGACCTTTCTCGAAGCTTTTTTCCAGGGTATAAATAAATTAAAGATTGGTGGTGCTATGCTTGTCTTGGGGTCCATTTAGAACTTTTGTGGGCCAAACTTAAAGTAGGCACGTCTAAACTAGGTGCTTTTATAGCCTTTAACGCCCGCTATTTGACTCTTGTCGTTTTACTGTTGAAATATCATTTGACATGTATGAGTTCGCCTTTACTGTTTATGTATTATAATTTGAATGAAGAAGAAGGAAATTACTTTTAACTTATTTTGACATTGAGAGATGTTATATTGATAATTTTTTTTTTCTTACAAACTATATTAAGTATAACTAGTCATGCACTCTTGAAATTTGACTAATCAGCAGACTTAGTGTATTTTGTTAGTTTGTAAGAAAAAAGTTTGTCAATATAAATTCTTCCTTGGAAATTAGTGAAAAATTTATATGATAGAGCATAAATAAATTACACTTCTGTCTCTTTGAAATCTGTCAACTATTGAGATTTTCAGAATTCGAGTATGGTGGTCCACGTAAAGTATCTTAAAAAAAAACTCCCCCAAATCAGTTAAGATTTTAACAGACTGATAATATATAATTCAAGCATTTGTCTTGATTTTGAAATTTGATTGGGCAAAAATTGTTTTGTATGTTCTGAAATGTATACATATATTGTTTTGATTAGAAAGGGTGGATATTTTTCTTTCCGAGCAACATCTCGTGTATGTACAGGAATTCATGTTGAAAAGTGATAGCTACATGGCCAAACATGTCCTCCCACTGAGCGTTGAGGTTTGAGCTTTCAACGAAGAAAAGCAAAGAAAAAGGCAAGACGATCTAGCGTGTCTTCCTTCACCTTGAACTTGAAGCCTCACAACGATAAAAAGCATTGTCTCTCTGACTCGTGTCAAGCATGGTCAGGTCAGGTCATATAAATCACAGTACAAAATTCAAAAATATAGACAGTAGCGATCCATATTTCATCCCATTAATTCCTATACATGACATGACCATAAAACAAGTAATTACCCCACCTTGAGGGGCACGCACGCAAAGATAAACGCCCCACAACACAATCATAAAAACCAAAAGCCTCCCTTCTCTTTCTTTCACTTTGAACTTTGAACAAAGAGACCTCCCTATTCAGCAATGAGAGTTCCCGTTTCGTCATCCCCACAGGCCAATCCAAAACCCAATAACGCTACCCGTACCATTGCCCTTCACAGTCACACCCCTCCCAATCTCAACAATACCTACGAGCCCACTTCTGTCCTTGACCTCTGTCGCAGCCCCACCACCGTCCCCCCCGAAAACCCCACCCATCACACCCGAGACCGAGAGTGTGTGGAAGTACTTGACGACCATGTTTTGCATGATTTGGATTGGGATTCCATCATGAAGGACTTGAGCTTCCACGACGAATCCAAGACTACCATTCTCCAACCCAATAATATTAACCCATGCGACCTCTCTGTCGGCCCTGACTTCCCACCCTTCGATCACGCCGCAGAATTCACCACTCTCTCCGACATGTACTCGAACCATAACCTGGGTAATTACAACCTCACCACCCTCGACCATTCCGTTCACGATTTCAACGGCTTCGATTTCATCGAAGAGCTTATCCGTGCGGCCGATTGCTTCGACAACAACCAGCTACAACTTGCGCCCGTGATATTGGAGCGGCTCAATCAACGGCTACGATCTCCCGTGGGAAAGCCACTCCACCGAGCAGCGTTTTACTTCAAAGAAGCTCTCCAGTCCCTTCTCTCCGGTTCGAACCGGACCCCGCGGCTTTCTTCCTTGGTTGAAATCGTGCATAGCATCAGAACCTTCAAGGCCTTCTCTGGAATCTCGCCGATCCCAATGTTCTCTATCTTCACCACCAACCAAGCCCTCCTTGAAGCCCTTCACGTTCATGCCACCACCTTTATGCACGTCATCGACTTTGACATAGGCCTCGGTATTCAATACGCTTCTCTCATGAAGGAGATTGCGGAGAAGGCTGAGTCATGCAAAATCACCTCCCCGCCGATCCTCCGAATCACCGCCGTCGTTCCCGAAGAGTACGCCGTCGAGAGCACGCTCGTCCGCCAGAACCTCACCCAATTCGCTCAAGAACTCAGAATCCAAGTCCAGGTTGAATTCGTGCTTCTCAGGACGTTCGAGACGCTGTCGTTTAAGGCCGTCAAGTTCCTCGACGGAGAGAAGACCGCCGTCCTCTTATCTCCGGCCATCTTCCGCCGCCTCGTCTCCGCCGCTGCCTTCCTTGCCGACGTACGTAGGGTCTCGCCCAGCGTGGTGGTTTTTGTGGACTCGGAAGGGTGGGCGGAGGCCGCGGCAGCGTCGTCCTTCCGGCGAGGCGTGGTTAGTAGCCTGGAGTTCTATTCGATGATGCTGGAGTCGCTGGATGCGACGATGGTAGGGGGAGCAGGTGAATGGGTGAGGAGAATTGAGATGCTTCTGCTGCGCCCGAAGATTTTGGCGGCGGTGGAGGGTGCCGGGCGGCGGGTGACGCCGTGGAGGGAGGCGTTTTACGGGGCCGGAATGAGGCCTGTGCAGTTAAGCCAGTTCGCGGATTTTCAAGCGGAATGTTTGTTGGCCAAGGTACAAATCAGAGGCTTCCACGTGGCCAAACGCCAGGCTGAGCTGGTGCTCTTCTGGCATGAGCGGGCCATGGTTGTCACGTCAGCATGGCACTGTTAGAACTTAGAACAAGGAAAATTATAATTGGGACAGGGGATTATATGGCATAAACAAAATAGTGCTATAATAACAGTATTGTTCTCAGGTTCCAACTTCCAAGTCCAACTTATTATTATTATTATGGAAAATCAAGGTATCTCACAAAAGGAAAAAAAAAAAAAAAAATTGGGGTTGGGGGATGGAGATAAACTTGTATTTATTCTTGACCATTTTGATTTTTGTAGTTTGACTTGGGGAGTCTTTCTTTGTTGGAGACTCTTGTTATCCTAATGAACTTTGCGGGTTTGGCAGACTAAATAGTTCTTTCTATCTTTTTAATGCCTTATGGTGTGGACTGTGGAGTATTTTGCTGCAAAAGTGAGAAATCAAAGGTCTATATGACAAGCATATTCAGCATGGAATAACAGTTCGGCATCCACCTTCTAGTTATACTGTTTTTCCATTGTTTCATATTTTCTTGTTTTGGTATTAACCGCTATGAAATATGTTCTCAATACCAAACTGCCACCGTTGTTTGACGTGACCCAATCATTAAAAATAAATAAATAAATAAATAAATAAAATTCTTAAGGAAGGACTTCGGAAATTAATGAAGACTATTTTGATAAAATTAAAAAAAAAATTAATTTAATTTTTTATTAATACATCTAACTCTCAAAATGATGTAGTCTTAGAATTGTAAGAAATAATTTTATGTCATGTAAAAAGAAAAATATTTTTCTTTTATATATTATTTTTAATTATTTTTTTGTGCTGGGTAAGAATTAAGAACACTCTATAGCATATCTCCGGAAAGCATCTACAGCATGCAGAAAGGCCAAGGGGTAGCAAACCCAAAACAATTATATCGAGGGATTAATAGTTTCCTGCTAGCCTAATAATTTCAAACTTCTTGAGTTTTGAGAATGAAAGCTCTCTAAAAAAAAACCTACCAGTATATTGTGTTACACTGTTACTTGTACCAAAGAACGTAAGGCTTCAAGTGAACCATCAACAATGTATGAAATATGAATCGACAATTTAGTGAGCATAATATATTTACTAGTCCAAAATATAGTGTATCGTGAAGTGACGTAATTCTCCATATATGCATATATATACTGAGAAATCGAATCACAACGAACAATTTGTTAAATATTGGGTGAAATGTGTTAAAACATTTCATAATGGATATGGATATTTGAATTCATTAAAAAAAATCGTTTCGGTTTATTCAACCAAAAAAATAAAAAACAGATAATCTTCCATTAGCTTAGCTGGGTGCTACTGTACGATAGAGCATTGCTCTGTGACGCTGGGGTTTTGCGGAGACGTGTAATTTTTTGGGCTGGGCCTTAGTTTTGGTTTATCCGAACCTTTCTTGCCTCTGTTTTGTTTTGCAATGGTGATTTATGTTTGATTAAACCAAAAGCATAAACTACACCCAAATTTCCTTCCTGAGTTACTGTGTTGGAAAAGAAGGGAATGCTGCATTGGGAATTAGAATGGCTCTTCTCGGATCAAACATAATAGGCGAGGTGAGCATCGGTCTTCTTTTTCTTTGATATATTTCCCGCTGTTTTTTCTTCAGCTAGGGTTTTGATTTCGCATCCTACTATTTCTTTTTAATTATTATAATCGCGTTTCTTAGTTTCTACTGCGTCGCCAAATTCAACGTTTCTATCACTTGTTAGTCTTGATTACAATTAAAACAGACTTTTACTACTTGCTAATGTCAAAGAACTATGAAATATAGTGATTAGCCGTTGAAATCATCCCAGGTATCAATCCGCTGGGTTCATTGCCTGTTATTACTGATATAAGATGTCTGCTTAGATTGATGTCTGAACTATTTGGTGCAGGTTGGACTCCGCTTGCTTCTTTGTCCTCATGGTTCCAACGTTGTAATTCGAACAACATGGTCACATATTTTCATTTCATTATTACCATCAGTTGTAATTTTAAGTTGGTTTGCGGTTAAAATTGTTATTTAACTATTAAGCTTATGTTTTTGCAGCTGTTCTGTGGGAATTGCTTTGCCTGTATACTCTACATTCAAGGCAATAGAAAATAGAGATCAAAATGCTCAACATAGGTGTCTTCTCTATTGGGCAGGTACAGATGTACCTACCATTTTCAGTTTCTTTTTTTTTATCTATTTTCATAAACCCTTGTGATAGTTTCGCGCAGTTTCAGTAGTTCTTCTGCTTCTAGTAAAAATTCTCGCCAAAATAGAGATGGTGAGATAGATCAAAACGAATAACTCCTGTAAATGACTGCAGGATTTGGTTGATGGAAAGGTTAATTGAGGTTTCTTGTTTTGCTTATGAGTTGTTATTTTTGTTGAAATCATAGGGATTTAGGTAGGGAAGGAAGAAAAAAGAGAATAAAGATTAAATAATATGAAATTGATATTGATTTGATATGAAAAATATGTTATGATGTGATACAAATTAAAATGAACTAATCCCTATTTATAATAATATTTAACTCCAAATCCTAATTAATTAAGGAAACAATTCATGAAATATATAGATATATTGAAACCAGTCCTAAGAGCTAATTTAAGATACTCTAAATTACTCGAAGAAAGAATCAATATATAATGAGATTTTTTCATATATTCTGACATTCCCCTCAACATTAAGCTTACCAAGCTTTAAGCTTGTTACAAATGAATTTTTTTATAAAGGGAAAATAACCAAAGAATATACTCTGGACCCCAAAAAAACATAGCTGGAAAGAAAACGCAAGGATGCTAGGTATGTCCGAGAGATGAACATTGTTGCAAAAGCTATTCAGTAAGATGACTGGAATGATCATAAGAGCTGGTTGGACTCTTGCTTGACCAAGAAAGAAAAGACTTCGCTAGATAGATCATCAGCAGAAAATTTTTTGGCGAGCAATTGTACATAGCAAGAACTAAAACTTCTCCAAGTTCATTAATAACAACATTTGGAAGCTTCAAACCACAAGAAAACTTACGAGTGCCCCCTACCCCTAAAAAAAAAAGAAAGAAAAAAAAAAAATCAAAATGAAGGCTGGTTTGCATCATATCCATGGAGAATTTATCATCGGTGAAATTGGAGAAATCAACATCGGTATGATTCACAATGGGAGGGTGGTATGAATCACAATTCACAACCAATTCATTACTAAGTCATCACTATTTGACTCATTGGTAGAAAGAAGTCACCGGGAAAGTCGTCAAATAACAAGATAAGGTTGGTTTAACCTGAAACCATCGGGAATGGGCCAATCTAGAGGAGAGTCAGATGGTGTGGTTGTCGACCAAAGCCCAAAATTGTCATATGGTTCTGGATGGTGGAGATTGGAGAGGAGGCTCAATGAACCGATCTAAGGATTCTGGAGAAGATGCCAACAGCGAGAAAAATAACCCACCGACTAAGAGAGAAACAACACTAACAATAGCGCGGTGAAGAGGTTGAGGGTGCCAGAAGGGAAACAAAACCAGAGAGCTGAATAATTTGAAGGAAGAAAATGATCGTGGAAATAAAGTAGAACTCTTGATTTTTGGAAACTCTGTTGTGAAATAGTGATGAGAAAGGTCACAGAAAATGGTATCAATCTAATATTATGTTGAAATTAAAGGAATTTAAGTAGGGATGAAAGAAAAGAGAGAATAAAGACTAAATAAGCTTAAAATTGATTTGATATGAAGAATGTGTTATGCGATACAAACTACAAAGTACTAATTTTATTTTACTTATAGTAGACTGCGAATCCTAATTAAAGGAAATAAGCCATGAAATATATAGTTACATGGAAACCAATCCTACGAGATAATTTAAGATACTCTAAATTGCTTTTGAGATACAATCAAGATATTATGAGATAATTTCATATATTCCAACAATTTTTAGCATTAGAATTGTTTTCAAAAATTACAAGAAAAAATAGTAAAACTGGCTACTTGATTCATACAGCATTGTAAACTCTTGTTAATTTCTATACCTAATCAACTTTCAGACATAAAATTATTGTATTATCTTATATATTTCCCTGTTTGTTGACAATAAAGCAATTGGGGAGCCATTTCATGAAAATCTTGCTTAGCAGGATGACGAGATGTATGTAATCTGGCAAAATTATGATTTATATTTTCTTGATGTTGACACTTTTGTTCTAGAGGGACTTAAATTAATGATCTCTTGTTTGATTGAGTTTCAGATATATTCGTTCCATTTGTGTAGAATTTGCCACCTAGAGAGATTAAAAGAATTTTATCTGCCTCCATTATTATGTATTCTTCTCTACTCCAGATTGCATGTCATTGGACTTGCTGTTAATAAAAATTTGTTCATGAGCATTTTCAAGTTATTATGAGAAGAGTGTGGGAACCAAATATGTGCTCAACATACTCATTGATTTATCAGGTGATAAAAAGCAGATCATGAAACTAAGTTGTGATTTCTACCCTTAAGTATTACTGTTTCCTAGAATTATCACACCACATCCTATTCTAATATCTGATACAAAGTTCCTAAAATTCTAAAACACTTACTCTCCCCCCTCCTTTATGATGCTTGAATTCAATCTCTTTGCATTTCCATGTCTAAATGTAACCCATATTCTATTATATTTATTATGATAGTTTCCTCTACTTTTGATATTTGCAGCCTACGGCTCATTCAGCCTCATTGAAGTATTTACAGACAAGCATATTTCTTGGTACAGTTTGATCCCATCATAATCCATTAACTTGGTTGTCAGGGGTTGTTCCCCTGAAATTTTCAAGGGTCTACCTTTTTTTCCTTAATTTATGATACACTATCAGCTTGTTAACAAGATTCTCTCTCTCTTTCCCTCTTTTAAATTATTTTTTATGGTTGGTAGTTGTACCGTTTGGTTCTGTGAGCCCACTATGTACCCTTTGAGGGTAATGTTGTTGTATGGATGGTACCTCTAGCTGAGGTAATGACCAGGCTAGAAGGTATTATTCCAAGAACAAGTAAGCAGATATCAATGGTAGACAAATAGTAAGGGTATGACTTAAGAGTAAATGGGCATAAATACAGTACATAAAAGATGATCCTCCTGCTGTGCCCATGAGGGCTATTTATAAGGAAAATGGTGTGGGTTGGTGAGGTGGGGGTCAGCCCTCCTTGGGATGTGTTCCCCTGATGGCAGTGTTAGGCGCGGTTGGCGCTGCCACAATGGCAGCGCTGCACCCACTGCATCAGGCGATGTCAGCATTGAGCAAAAGGGCAGATTCCTTTGCAGTGCTTATGGCGACTGCCTTTAGCGGTTAATGTCCCAAAGTGGGACATTTTGGTGTATCTTTTGGACGTGCTGCAGTCTTGGAGATCGTGAGGGTCCACGTCAGCCCTAAGGGCTGACGCAGAAGAAGGCTGAGGATTGGGCCTGAGTAACTGGGCCACTCCAGTGCTTGGGCCATCCGGAACAGGAGCCCCCCAGCTTGACAGCAACCGTAGGATGGTGCCAAGTTAAATGCTTTGGGCGTTACCTTTAGGGCGATCACCTTGATTGATATCGGAAGAGTGACAGTTTGTCTCTAGCTCCTCCCAGGGTATTTTGGGTTTTTGTTCTTCTGGAATTTCTGGCGTTTTACTTGGGCGTCCTTCGAGAGGGAATCTACTACAAAGGACCTTATCGCCGTGGCGCCAGGAGCCCTCCAGCCTGGTAACGAGCATAGGCTGGTGCCAAGGCAGGTAGGATTTGGCGACGCCTTGTTTGGCGATGTGAAATATTTGAGCATGGGCGATTCCTTTTGGTGATTGTTGTAACAAGGTCATTGATGACGATGATTGGTGGGTGACACCCAGTGAAAAGGCTGCCGCTTCTGGCACTTTAGGAGGCTTTTCAGTTTTCGAGGAGTCGTAATGATGAGTTTTCCCATCATTACCATTTATTGCAGGCATCCAAGCATCACAGGGTTCAGCGCATTAATGCGACGCGACTGCTGACCTATCCTTTGAAGTTACCACTTTGCCCCCTTTTCTCAACCGCTCGTTGCACGATGGCTGTGTCATCGTACGGTTAAGTGAGGAGGACTTACACGTGTCTGTGCGAGACCTTCTTTTGTCCTTTTGAAATGACCACCTTGCCCCCTTTTCTCAACCGCCCATTGCACGATGGTTGTGTCATCGTACGGTTAAGTGAGGAGGACTTACACGTGTCTGTGCGAGACCTTTCTCCTCCTCTTTCTGTATAAAGGGGGAGACCCTTTGTTGGGGTTCTTCCTTACGCGAAACCTACTCTGTTGCGCTTTTTGCTCAAAGCCTTTGTTTCCTATCCTCAGTTCAGTGTGATAGTGCCGGTCTTCTTTCTCTTCTTTTCTGCAATTCTCAGGTATAGTCCTTCTTCTCTTGTCGTTTCTATTCTTGTTTCTGGTTGTCTTCTACTCCTTTTTCTGCTGTATCGATGGTTAGGTTTACAGAACCTATCCCTGGTCTCGTACTTCCTGAACCGGAAGTAGAAATTAAGGAAGAGGAGTTTGATGAGGCCTTTGAGGCACTGGGGGATAGTGCAGTGGGGCCAACAATGCGAGAGTATCTGGCTAGTTGCGCCCCAAGTCATCCTTTAATTCTTGGGGTTGAGAAGTTGCCCCATGAGAAAGTACCCGAACTTTTGGGTTTTAGTGAAGTGGAGATTCAAAATCTCCTTCCCGAAAGAGCTTTAGGTCCTGTGCTCCCGTATGCTGGTGAGACATCATGTTCTAATCCCCGTAGTGGGCGCCGCGGGTTAGTTGGTGAGGAGAGTTCCAGATCTGGCGGGCGTTCGCCTGCCGGCTCTATGAGGCGAAAGGTTGCTTCACGTCGTCGTGTTTCGCGGCGTTCTGATCTCGGAACTGGGCGATTAATTCGACCTGTATCCAACATCAACCGGCAGCGACAAAACCGTCCTTTAGAGTGTTATTTCCACCCTCGCCCTTCTTCAGTTGCCCTTCGGACGTCTCATGGTCAAATTCCTCCCATCCCTAAATCTTTCCATCGTCGTATGTATGATGAGTCCACAGAGAACCGTTTAGGTAGATACTACCCGGAGGATGGTCGCCTTATAAGGAATGGCGTGTGGGACGCCATTTTTGAAGACATAGGGCTTTATAAGATACCGCCTGCTTGGTGGCCTTCTAACCTGAGCTATTCAGATTTTTATTCAAGTTCATCAGACACCTCGGATTCTGATGGTGAGTTAATTGTGTTATATTTTTCTTTTTTCTTTTCGTTGTGCTTGACGTGGGGGGTGTTGGAGGTGACATGGGTGTTGATAGGGTGAGTTGGACTATCCCGTTTCCTTTTGCAATGGTCTTCTTGGCGTCAGTGAAGTTTAGGGGACTGACTGTGTGTTTGTCGCTCCTAGGCAGGACTTTAAAAGACTTTCCAGACTTATGGCGACTGTTCAGTCGGACGACGGTCTCGGGGCGCGGGAATGGGTTGATCCTGTGGTGGCCACAACCTCTTTAAGCTACTCTGACAAGGGTATCTTACGCAGCCACTATAAAGGTGAACCCAGCTTCAGCATAACTGAAAATGGTGCAAACGAGGCGAAGTGGCAACCGGTCGCGGTCGGTGCTGATCGTCGGGCCTGTGACGCGCCTCTTATGGCGCTCCGATCACGGTGGCGATTTATGGTGTACAAAACTCACTTTACTAATCAGAAAGTGAGGTTTCCGCTGTCCGAGTTCGAGATGGAGGTGTTATCTCACTTACAGGTCGCGCCTTTGCAACTGCATCCCAATGCTTCGGCGTTTGTCAGAGTTTTCGAGAGTATATACAAGTATTTCGATATGGCCTACTCTGTACGATCATTCTTCTACTGTTTTCAAGTGTCGCCATCCAAGAAGACGAAGCTTGGCTGGGTTTCATTGAAGGCGGGCAATGCGATTGGATCAATATTTGCCCAGTACGCCAACTCTTATAAGAATTAGACGCATACCTTCTTTTGGATTGAACCAGTGTTGGGCGAGGGCGAGCTCCCTTTCTTTGTTGATCCGTCGAGTGGGGAGTGTCGGTTTCCCCTATACTGGACTAAGGCTCATTACGAGACGCCGGCCGGTCAGTACTCGTTTGCTCTAGGGGTCCTGTCACTTGGGGAGGTACAGGCGATCAATTGGTTTTTGGAAGTGAAGGGGGGTCTTGACCGGTGGCCCACGAAGCAAGTGTTGTGCCATGGAGGTGTGGTGGCGTTCAATGTTGTTTTTATTTGTGGCGATCTATACTGTTGTTTCTTGTGTTTACTCTTTCTTGTGTTTGTGCTGACTTGTCTTATTGTTTGTAGTTGGAAGCATGGCGACCGATGCGTTGAAGCTTGCGCGTGATGCAGCAGCTAAAGTGAGGGCCAAGCAGGGTGTGGCGCCTCAGACTCAGACCATCCCCTTCTAAAAGGAAAAGCTTGGACAAGGGGAAAGATAAAGAGGTGAGACCGAAAAAGAAGAAAGTTCGTTCTGCTGCTGGTGAACTTGAGAAACGGGCTAATCGCCCCATTATTAAAGACTCCATTGGCGTGACTGGCCATTCTTCTGCCAGTGAATCAACTTTGGGGTCTGGATTACGAGGTGCGACAGCAAGCTTGACACCTCCCAGATCTTCCCAGGCGAGACGCATTGAGCCTTCTGGGGGCGGTCTGACTCGGGACGGCGCTTCTGAAAATGATCAGGCGATTAACAATGCTCCAGGCGATGGAGGGGATGACCACCCTCGTGGGCCATCTGAGGCTGTAGGTTCACCTCTTCTTTCTGAAATTCCTGTGAGCAGGGCGCTCCGCTTGTCGGAGAGGGACCTTATCCACGGATTCCCCAATATCAGGCGTCCTAAGATGGTAATGTCTGCGCATTTCGACCGTCAGTAGTTCATGGACTGTACCCAATTGATTATTGGCCGTATCCTTGGCCAACAGGAGATTACCCTGGATTTTGAGGAACGGTGTTCCCAACAGGAGGATCGTCTTGTTGATTTGGGGCGGCAAGTTAATAGCTTGACCGCTGACGTGGGGCGCCTTGGCAAAGAAGTTGCCGATGGGAAAGCTTCTTCGAAGTCTCTGTCCGCGAAGTTAAAAACGACAGAGGATGCGGTGAAACTATTAACCGCCGATAAAAGCAACCTGAGTCAATCAGTGGAAAATTTGAAGAAGGAAAAAGAGATTCTTCAAGCGGAGAGAGATCAATTATCTTCAGATTTATTTGTTGCGCAAGGGAACCTTCACGCCAGGGATGATGATTATAAGAAGGCTTCTAGGCAAGTGGAGAAGTTGGAAGAGGCTCTGGCCGATCTGATGTATGATTCTTTCAACAGCGCCCTTAAACAGGTTGCCGTCAGGTATCCTGGTCCTGACTTGACTGGCCTGGATCCGTCTTATGATGTTGAGGATGGCCAGATTGTGAATCGCCTTGAAGGTGATGTTGTGAAGGTGATTGAAACGGCGCCAGAGACTGATGACGATGAAGGAGCTCGCGGCGTGCTTCCTATGACTGACACGGATAGTGATCATACACGAGATGATGATGGGCGTGTCACGTCAACCAATTCTTGTTGTGAGTGGCGGTGGTACCGAAGTCATGATTGCTGGGCAGAATGATCAGGCGCCAGAGGCGGTTGCTTCCGCAGTTGAATAGGACTCGACCGTTCAGGCTCAGGATGTTTGAGATGTGCTGGCGACATTCCTTTAGGACTTAGGCTCCTTTTTTTTTTTTTTTTGGCGCGGTTGGTATGTCAACTGCGGCCTCTATGTTTAAAAACTTATCAATATCAACGAATGGATTCTCTTTACACTTGTCGTTTTTCCCGCTTTATTTAAAGGACCGCTTTATTTTTCTCGTTTTTCCTGAGAACTAAGCTTGATTTAAGGGCGTTGGCTGGGGTGAGGACCATCCCAGTCCAATTGCGGCGAGGGTGAGGACCATGCCAGTCCAACTGCGGCGAGGGTGATAACCGTCTCGCTTGTTGGGCGTTGGCTGGGGGTGAGGACCATCCCAGTCCAACTGCGGCGAGGGTGAGAACCGTCTCGCTTGTTGGGCGTTGGCTCACCTCGCTTGTTGGGCGTTGGCTGGGGGTGAGGACCATCCCAGTCCAACTGAGGCGAGGGTGAGAACCATCTCGCTTGTTGGGCGTTGGCTGGGGGTGAGGACCATCCCAGTCCAACTGCGGCGAGGGTGAGAACCATCTCGCTTGTTGGGCGTTGGCTGGGTGTGAGAACCATCTCGCTTGTTGATTATTTTAACAGTATAGGCGATCAATGTTTGCTTTTTATTGAAAATGCGGGACCCTGCCTCATTAAAAACCTTCCCTAGTAAAACCCATTGGGACAAAAACGTAGGGAAGGAAAAGAGTGCAGGAGAAATTACATGGTATTTCAACTATAGTACTTTTTGAGCTTGTCTGCGTTCCACGCCCTTGGAATCGCCTTTCCGTTTAACGTCTCGAGTGAGTAGGCTCCTTTTCCCAGTTTGTTTGCTACACGGTAGGGACCTTCCCAATTAGGGGCGAGCTTTCCTTCCCGGACGTTCTTGTTTCCAACGTCTGCTCTTCTGAGAACCAAATCTTTTTCTTCAAAAATTCGTGGAATCACTTTCTTGTTGTAATAAGTGGCAGATCTTTCTTTTGTCTGGCGATCGTTGTGGGCGGCGTATCTTCTTACTTCGTCCAGCAGATCCAACGCTTCTTTCAAGTGCTGGTTGTTGGTGACCTCTGTCACGTGCTCTCGTCGCCAGGAAGGCTCGCCTATTTCCACTGGAATCATGGCTTCGACACCGTATGTCAGCCTGAAAGGCGTTTCTCTGGTGGAGGACTGGGCGGTAGTTCTGTATCCCCATAGGACGTTGTCTAGATTTTCTAACCATGCTCCTTTGTGCGTTTCTAGCCTCTTCTTGATTCCTTTCCCCAACATTTTGTTGGTGGATTCTACTAAGCCATTGGACTGAGGGTGTTCTACAGCGGTAAAGTAATGTCTGATCTGTAGACTGTTCATCAGTGTTCGGAACTTGGCATCAGTAAATTGAGTGCCGTTGTCAGTAATGACCTCCCCAGGGATACCAAACCGGTAGATGATGCTTCTCCAAAAGAACCTTCTTGCTTTTTGGGACGTGATAGTAGCTAAGGGTTCCGCCTCTACCCATTTGGTGAAGTAGTCAATGGCAACGATTAGCCACTGGACTCGCCCAGCCGCCTTGGGAAAAGGCCCAAGAATGTCAATTCCCCACTTGTAGAAAGGCCATGGAGATGTGATTGACGCCAATTCTTCGGGTGGTGCCCTGTGTACGTCAGCGAATCTCTGGCACTTTTCGCATTTCTTTACATGCTCGTGAGCGTCACGTTCCATGGTTGGCCAATAAAACCCTGCTCTCAACGCCTTCTTTACCAGCGAGTGACCACCTATGTGATGGCCATTGATACCTTCATGAATTTCTTCTATTACGTACGGAACGTCATTAGAGTTCAAACATTTCAGGAGTGGGGTTGAGGTCCCTCGTTTGTATAAACATCAATTTCTTCATATATTCTGACATTCCCCTCAACATTAAGCTTACCAAGCTTTAAGCTTGTTACAAATGAATTTTTTATAAAGGGAAAATAACCAAAGAATATACTCTGGACCCCAAAAAAACATAGCTGGAAAGAAAACGCAAGGATGCTGGGTATGTCCGAGAGATGAACATTGTTGCAAAAGCTATTCAGTAAGATGACTGGAATGATCATAAGAGCTGGTTGGACTCTTGCTTGACCAAGAAAGAAAAGACTTCGCTAGATAGATCATCAGCAAAAAATTTTTTGTCAAGCAATTATACATAGCAAGAACTAAAACTTCTCCAAGTTCATTAATAACAACATTTGGAAGCTTCAAACCACAAGAAAACTTATGAGTCCCACCAACCCCTAAAAAAAACAAGAAAAAGAAAAAGAAATCAAAATGAAGGCTGCTTTGCATCATATCCATGGAGAATTTATCGTCGGCATGAATCATCGGTGAAATAGGAGAAATCAACATCAGTATGATTCACAATGGGAGGGTGGTATGAATCACAATTCACAACCAATTCATTACTAAGTCATCACTATTTGACTCATTGGTAGAAAGAAGTCACCGGGAAAGTCGTCAAATAACAAGATGAGGTCGGTTTAACCTTAAAACATCGGGAATGGGCCAATCTAGTGGAGAGTCAGATGGTGTGGTTGTCGACCAAAGCCAAAAATTGTCATATGGTTGTGGATGGTGGAGATTGGAGAGGAGGCTCAACGAACCGATCTAAGGATTCTGGAGAAGATGCCAACAGTGAGAAAAATAACCCACTGACTAAGAGAGAAACAACACTAACAATAGCGCGGTGAAGAGGTTGAGGGTGCCAGAAGGGAAACAAAACCAGAGAGCTGAATAATTTGAAGGAAGAAAATGATCGTGGAAATAAAGTAGAACTCTTGATTTTTGGAAACTCTGTTGTGAAATAGTGATGAGAAAGGTCACGACTCACAGAAAATGGTATCAATCTGATATTATGTTGAAATTAAAGGAATTTAAGTAGGGATGAAAGAAAAGAGAGAATAAAGACTAAATAAGCTGAAAATTGATTTGATATGAAGAATGTGTTATGCGATACAAACTACAAAGTACTAATTTTATTTTACTCATATTAGACTGCGAATCATATTTAAAGGAAATAAGCCATGAAATATATAGTTACATGGAAACCAATCCTAAGAGATAATTTAAGATACTCTAAATTGCTCTTGAGATACAATCAAGATATTATAAGATAATTTCATATATTCCAACAATTTCTAGCATTAGAATTGTTTTAAAAAATTAGAAGAAAAAATAGTAAAACTGGCTACTTGATTCATACAGCATTGTAAACTCTTGTTAATTTCTATACCTAATCAAGTTTCAGACATAAAATTATTGTATTATCTTATATATTTCCGTGTTTGTTGACAATAAAACAATTGGGGAGTCATTTCATGAAAATCTTGCTTAGCAGGATGATGAGATGTATGTAATCTGGCAAAATTATGATTTATATTTTCTTTATGTTGACACTTTTGTTCTAGAGGGACTTAAATTAATGATCTCTTGTTTGATTGAGTTTCAGATATACTCGTTATATTTGTGTAGAATTTGCCACCTAGAGAGATTAAAAGAATTTTATCTGCCTCCATTATTATGTATTCTTCTCTACTCCAGATTGCATGTCCTTGGACTTGCTGTTAATAAAAATTCGTTCATGAGCATTTTCAAGTTATTATGAGAAGAGTGAGGGAACCAAATATGTGCTCAACATACTCATTAATTTATCAGATGATGAAAAGCAGATAATGAAACTAAGTTGTGATTTCTACCCTTAAGTATTACTGTTTCCTAGAATTATCACATCCTATTCTAATACCTGATACCAAGTTCCTAAAATTCTAAAACACTCACTCTCCCCCTCTCCTTTATGATGCTTGAATTCAATCTCTTTGCATTTCCATGTCTAAACATAACCCATATTCTATTATATTTATTATGATATTTTCCTCTACTTTTGATATTTGCAGCCTACGGCTCATTCAGCCTCATTGAAGTATTTACAGACAAGCATATTTCTTGGTACAGTTTGATCCCATCATAATCCATTAACTTGGTTGTCAGGGGTTGTTCCCCTGAAATTTTCAAGGGTCTACCTTTTTTTCCTTAATTTATGATACACTATCATCTTGTTAACAAGATTCTCTCTCTCTTTCCCTCTTTTAAATTATTTTTTTATGGTTGGTAGTATCCTTTTATCTGGATTATTAGTATTTTGGGACTCATGATGAACTAAATCGCTTGGAATTTAATTTTTTTTTCACAGGTTTCCTATGTACTATCACCTGAAGTTCGCATTTCTTGTCTGGCTTCAACTTCCATCTACCAATGTGAGTTTGATTAAGACTTAGATTCAGATTTAGTCTATAATGATGTTTTTGATCCATCGATAACTGAATTATTTTTTGTATGTTTCTATCTTATTATGTCCCAGTGTTTTTCCTTCTTTTTTTGATCCTTATGCCATTTCCCATCTCCCTTTTCTTCCTTCATTTCCTTTTTCTTTTACCTTGAATTGGTTATCGTATCTTCTTTGCTAAAAATAATCTGTAATTCACTAGGAGTTTGATAAGGGGGTGTTTGGTTCAAGTTTTTGGAGAGGATTACCGGTAATCTTCCTTGGTAAATATAATTACCACGTTTGGTAGAAGGAATAAATTACGATTCCCGGATATTCAAGGATTACCGGTAATTTGATTTATAAAGAAAAGTCACTATTCAGATTACCAAAAATAATATGGTAATTCGGAATACCAATAAGAATACCAAGTAAAGGGAAAACACAACAATAAATTTTGAGACAAAAATACTCCAATACACATAAAAATCTAGACCCAATCTATCAATTACAAAAGTAAAAATAGTTTGGGGTTATTTTTGTAAAATAACCTCATATTCCAAGTCATATTTCGTTCTAAACCAAATATGGAATCAGTAATTTTTACCCAATATTCCCGGTAATATTTTGGCGAACCAAACACATCTTTCGTAAGATTCCAAGTAAACTCAATTTCTACTGAATTTCCATTAATCATGATTCTCGGTCACCAAAAAATTTCTCCTGTACCAAACACACCCTAAGAGTATTAATTTCTTTGCAGAAGTTGAAATTTTCATCATTTTCTTCTGCTTGATATTTGTCTTTTCTTTCTAGGAAAATGAGAGATAAGGGTAATAAGACGGTAAAGAAGGATTTCCCTCACCCAAGTGCACACAAGTTGGGATTTCATTGAGTAATTTTTTTTTAGGAAAATGAGACCGTTATGATTTGGAAAATGCTATATGGACAACTATAATAGAGACAAAAAGCGATAGCTAATATACAAAACCATTGCATTGCATGTGGATTTCTGCATAACTGTTTTGATGACACTGTAAAAAACTTGATTTACTGTAAGATGTGTGAATTTTGTTACATGTAAGAAGCTAATTTTTTTACCAAAAAACAATTTTGTTCAAACGCCCTTTCTGATTAATAATTGGTAAGTGCTGCGGCTAGATGAAGCTCTGATAGCCATATAGTTAATAATGTGTTTAGACCATGGAAGAACTATCAGTGTGCCTCTTGCAATATTCTTGTAGATATTATTAGTTGATTCCCAGATTTGAGTTATAAGCATTTTTTTAATCCTCCCTCTTCCTATTTTTCATTTTCTTCCTGTTATTTACAGCACGATATTGTATCCATTCTATGGTTGACATTTTGTCTCTTTAATGCCTCAACTCTCTTCTGTTATTTTGCTGATAAACTACTTGCGTTCAAGCAGGGAGCAAAGCAGTTATATGGTAACCTCCTGCGCCCCTTCTTGTTGAGGCATCAAGTAATAATTTTCATATTTCATTTTTTAGTAATGGATGACAAATTTAATTTACAAAAAAATTAACGACAGAAATCTCTCTCACTCATCTTATCCATCCCTAGTGTTAAATCTCTGCTAAGGAATATACTTTAACTCAGTGGTTTATATGCATTTTATTACCCTTTTATTTCTTGGCAACCATAGCGAAATTAGTTTAAGGTCAATAAAAGCTACTAATAGTTCTTCAAATAGTTCAAAATTCAAGTAAGCAATTTTATTTTTGCATAATTTTAAAACAGTATTTCTTTTATCAAACTTGAATTGAATAAACGTCTAGTAATGCTTTGAATAATTTAAATTGCACCTCAGATATATTACAAAAATTTAAACAATTATGTATAAAAATAAAAATAATGTACAAAGTACAAACCCTTGCGTTGTACGGGAATGATAACAAGTTCGTTGTAGATACGATCAATGTGATTTCACATGACATTTTGGACCAAAAATAACATTAAGATATTTCTTTTAAGAGAAAAGTATTTGTTATTTTAAATGATACAATCTTGTGTCATTTTTAATAAAATTATATTGTTTTGTTGTATTTCTAGTATTTTTTTACATTTTATATTTCTTATAAAATTAAGAAAAAAAAAGTGGAGGAGAGAGAATACAACACAACAAACCAATATAGTTTTATTAAAAATAATATAAAATTATGTCATTTAAAATAAGAAATACTTTCCGCTATTTTAAAACAGAGATATACAAATTTATAAAAACTGATTGCAAACTCATTAAAATTACTTACTTTAAATTTACCAAAAAAAAAAAAAATACTTACTTTCATTACCCAACGTATCATTTTTTTTTAAAAAGGTCTGACTCCCAGTGAACAGAAATTTTATAATAAATATTGAGTGAAATGTGTGAAAACATTTTATAATAGATGTAAATATTTGATTTTACTAAAAAGAAATCCCTTTCAGTTTATTCAACCAAAAAAAATAAATAAAAAATTCCGATAATCATCCAATAGCATAGTTCGGTGCTACAGGGCGATAAAGCATTATCCTTTCCCCATCCTGTGATGCTTGTTGTTTTTTCTTCTTCAAGGAGACGTGTTATTTTTTGGGCTGGAGCCTGTTGTTTTTTGGGCTGGGCCCTAGTTTTGGTTTTTCCCAGCCTTTCTGGCCTCTGTTCAACTTTTTTGTTTTGCGATGGTGTTTTACGATTTATTAAACCTTAAAGCATAAACTACACCCAAATTTCCTTACTGTGTTGGAAAGGAAGGGAATGGTGGCTTGGGAATTGTAATGGCTCTCCTAGGATCAAACATAACAGGCGAGGTGGGCAATGATTTTCTTTTTCTCTAATATATTTCCCGCTGTTTTGTCTTCAGCTAGGGTTTTGATTCCGCTTCCCAGCATTTCTTTTTGTTATAATCGCGTTCTCAGTTTCTACAGCGTCACCAAATTCTACATTTCTATCACTTGCTAGTCTTGATTATAATTAAAACATTCTTTTATTACTTGCTAATATCAAAGTAATATGAAATATAGTGATTAGCTATTGATTTTATAAGAGGTACTATGCTACCGGGTTCATTGTCTGTTATCAGTGATGTAAAATGCATACTTAAATTGATGTATGAACTATTTGGTGCAGGTTGGACTCCGTTTGCTTCTTTGTCCACTTGGTTCCAACGTCGTAATTCGGACAGCATGGTCACATAATTTTCATTTCACTATTACCGCCACTTCTAATTTTAAGCTGGTTTGTGGTTAAAATTATTATTTAACTATTATCCTTCCGTTTTTGCAGCTGTTCTGTCGGAATTGCTTTGCCTGTGTACTCTACATTCAAGGCAATAGAAAATAGAGATCAAGATGCTCAGAATAGGTGTCTTCTTTATTGGGCAGGTACAAATTAACCTACCTTTTTCATTTCCTTTTTTGATCTCTTTTCACCACCCCTAAAATAGATAAAAAAGAGTAACTCTACTAAATGACTGCATGATGCGATTGAGGGTGTGACTGCTTGACATGGCTATGATATACCTAGCTCTTTTTTTTTGGGAGGGAGGGGGGTCGGAGAACATATCTAGTGTTACTACATTTCAATGACAGGAAAGGTTAGATGAGGTTCCTTGTTTGCTCATGAGTTGTTATTTTTGTTGAAATTATAGGGATTTAGGTAGGGAAGGAGGAAAAGAGAGAATAAAGACTAAATAATCTAAGATACAATCGAGATATTATGAGATATTTTTAATATATTCTAATACTCCCCCAAGCTAAAGCTTACTAAGCTTTAAGCTTGCTACAAGTGAACCCTTTAAAATGGGAAGTTAACCAAAAACTATAATTTGGACTCCGAAAAACTGAGTTGGAAAGGTAACTCAGCAACATTGGACGCTTCGAAGAGTTGAGCATTGTTGGAAAAGCAACTCAGCAGGATGACTGAAATGATCATCAGATTGAAGAACTTGTTGGACTGCTGCATGACCAATGAAGAAGATACTTCGTTGGAATGATTATCAGCAAATCTTTCCTTGCAAGCATTTCTACTCAGCAAGAACTAAAACTTCTCCGAGTTCATCAAGAACATCATTTTAAAGCTTCAAACCACAGTAGGACTTAGGAGGCCAAAAAAAATTAAAATTGAGGCTGGTGTGTATCATAGCCATGGAGAATATATTGTTGGCACTTGGCATGATTCATTTGTGAGATAGGAGAAATCACTATTGGTATGATTCACAATGGTATGCTGGTATGAATCACAGCCAATTCGTTACTAGTTTATTATTGTATGACTCATTGATAGAAAGAAGTCACTGCAAAAGTTGTCGAATAGCAAGATGAGGTTGGTTGGACCGTAGACCACTGGGAATCGGCCAATTTGGAGGAGGAGTGTCATTGAATGGTGGAGAGGAGGCTACCGAAGAGACAACACGGAACTGATCTAAGGATTTTGGAGAAGATGATGGCAATGAGGAAAAAATTCGCTGACTAAGAGAGCAACAATACTAATAGTAGTGTGGTGGAGAGATATAGAGAGGATGCCGTAAAGAAAACTTGACAAGGGAAATTGTTAATCTGAAAGAAGAAAATAATTATGGAAATAAAATGGAGCTTCATATTTTAGGGAACCCGGCAGTGGAATAGTGATGGGACAGGTCTCGGAAGATGGCATCGCTCTAATATCATGTTGAAATTATAAAAAAATATGTAGGGATGAAAAAAGAGAGAATAAAGACTAAATAATATAATATTGATTTTGGTTTGATATGAAGGACGGGTCATGATCTGATACAAACCACAAAGTACTAATCCTTATTTATACTAATATTATACTTCAAATCCTAATTAAAGAAGGATCCAAATCATGAAATATATTGATATATGGAAACCAACCCTAAGAGATGATCTAAAATACTTTAATATTATTCTAAGATGCAATGAAGATATTTTGACATATCTTTCCATATATTCTAACGATTTCCAACATTAGAATTGTTTCAAAAAATTATAATGAAAAAAGATTTTAACTTACCACTTGATTTATACAGCATGATAAACTCTTGTTAGTTTCTGTACATAATGAATTTTCTGACATAAAATTGTAGTATGATCTTATATATTTCTCTGCTTGGTGACAATACAGCAATTGGGGAGCCATTTCATGAAAATCTTGTTTATCAGGATGACGAGATGTATGTAATCTGGAAAAATTATGATTTATATACATCATGTTGACACTTTTGTTATAGAGGGACTTGACTTGATCAAATTAATAATCTCTAAAGTATTTGTTTGAAATCTCTAAATATTTGTTTGATTGAGTTTCTGATTTATTTGTTCCAGTTATGTTGAATTTTCCATCTTGAGAGATTAATAGAATTTTATCTGCCCCTGCCCTCCATTTTTATGCATCCTACTTTACTCTAGATTGCATGTCATTGGGCTTGCCGTTGATAAAAATTTGTTCCTGAGCATTGTCAAATTTGTTCCAGAATAAAGGACTTACTGTGATTTCTACCCTTAACTGCTTAAGTATTACTGTTTCCTATAGCTAGCACACCACATCCTATTCTGATATAAAGTTCCTGATGTCTAAAACGTCCCCCTCCCTCCTCCAATACGATACTTGAGTTCAATCTCTCTGCATTACCATGTCTAAACACAACCCATATTCTATTGTACTAAATATAATTTTTCTCTTTTGATATTTGCAGCCTATGGCTCATTCAGCATCATCGAAGTATTCACAGACAAGCTTATTTCTTGGTATAGTTTTCCCATCCTAATCCATTTAGTTGGTTGTATGGGGTTGTTCCCCTGAAATTTTCAGATGTCTATTTTTTTTTTTTCTAAACAAATGATACACTACCTTTTTGTTAGCAAGATTCTATCTCATGGTTGTAGTATCCTTTCATTCTTTTATCGGGATTATTAGTTTTGTGGGACTCATAATGAACTAAATTGCTTGTACATGAACAACATCTTTATTCCAAATTAATCGGGGAACCAAATCGCTTGTTATTTTATTTTATTTTTTTGCAGGTTTCCTATGTACTATCACCTGAAGTTCGCATTTCTTGTTTGGCTTCAACTTCCATATACCAGTGTGAGTTATAAAGACTCAGGATGAGGTTGAATCTATAATGATGTTTTCAAACCATCTGTAATTGAATTATTTTTTGTATGTTTCTATCTTATGTCCCTATGTTTTTCCTTTTTTTCTTTGTTGTCCTTATGCCATTTCCCCTCTTCATATTTTTTCGCTTCATTTCCTTTTTCTTTTACCTTGAATTGGTTATCATATTTTTGTTGCTAAAAAGCAGTTCACCGTGCGTTTGATAAGTGTATTTGTGGAAAATCTGAGTAATTATTATTTCAATATATTAGGGGTGTTCTCAAATTCCTTATTTATGGGAATCAATCACAATCAATTAGGATCAGTTTCTTTCCTTCTTAATTAGGATTGATTTAGTTTCCTTATTTCACTCACATGTAGTGTGTATATATGTTGTATCGTATCATTGTTGGAATCAATTTTCAATACACGGAACCTTTTTTACAATTGTAATAGACAAATTTCAATACAGGTCTTTTTTACAATTGTAATAGCATTAATTTCTTTGCAAATGTTGAAATTTTCATCATTATCTTCTACTTTATATTTGTCTTTTCTTTCTAGGAAAATGAGAGCATTATAATTTCTTTATGGACAACTATTAGAGAGACAAAAAGAGACAGCTAATACGCAAAAGCACTGGATTGCATGTGGATTTCTGCATAAAAGTTTTGATATGACACTGTAGATGTAAATCTAATCGTGTAAACTGTAAGATGTGTGAATTTTGTTACATGTAATAGTTCAAAATTTTACCAAAAACAATTTTGTTCAAATGCCCTTCTTGATTAATAATTGGTAAGTGTTGAGGCTAGATGAAGCTCTGATAGCCATATAGTTAAAAACATTTTTAGACCATGGAAGAACAATCAGTGTGTCTCTTGCAATATTCTTGTAGTTGTAAGTTGATTCCTAGATTTGGATGGATATTTTGTCTCTTGTAATTCTCCAAGGACTTTCCCTTTTTTTAAGTTATTAGAATTTTTTTATCCTCCCTCGTCCTATTTTGCATTATCTTCATGTTATTAACAGCACTATATTGTATTCTCCGTTTAATACGTTCTATGGTTGACAATTTGTCTCTTTAATACCTCAACTCTGTTCTGTTATTTTGCTGACAAACTACTTGCGTTCAAGCAGGGAGCAAAGCAGTTATATGTGAACCACCTGCGCCCCTTCTTGTTGAGGCATCAAGCGAGAATTGATCAAGTTTTAGGCCATGCATATTCTGAAGTGGTATGCCCCATACATTTCTTTTTGACTTTATCAAGAAGAATCTCGTGATCCCATCAAAGAGGGCGAAATCCAGGAATAGATTTTTTATTTTCCGAGTATTAAATTGATTGGTATTAACCTGCCAAAAGCTGACAGAAGGGAACATGCTCAGGATCCTCTTTCAAATATAGCGTTCATTTTAACCTTTTAAGGACAACTGTATTCACAGTTTGACTTGTTATGCTTGCAGATCAAACTTGTCAGTTCACATCAAACAGAGATACAGTTTGTCAGGAGCATGGTAGTAAAGATAACTCGGTCAGGTGAAACATCACGTTTCTGTGCTTTGCAATAGCTACTGCACATTATTTAAGTTACTAAACTACGATTTGAATTTTTTTATGCGGGTCAGCGAATCAAATGTTGAGAGGCCCTACTGATTCAAATAGATCGCTGCAACATAATCCAGCTGATAATGAACTCCCGGTGTCCTCTGATGCTGAGCCGGACCAGAACAATAACAGTTCGGTGCGCTGAGACTCATGAACTGATGAGTGCTGTCACAAAGAGTGCCCATTAGTCTGCTTGGAATAAGAGTGTCTAAACTTTCTGCCAACCTGTGCATCAATCACGACGTTGCTTTCTTCTATTAGTTTTTTCAAACGTTTTTTAAATTTTTTTCATTGAAAAAACCGGAAGCTTTCTCTTGATAGGATGTGGTAGATAAATTTTCTAAGATTTGCTGCTTTTTTAAAGATCTGAAGCTGTAAATATTTTTGTTGATAAACACGTTTTATAGTGGTATATCACACTTACAATTCCGCGCTGACATCCCATTATTTTAAACCGGGGGATAACGATAGGATTCCACTAAAGGAGCCAGAATTATTCAACCTCACTAAACGTATCAACATTTGAATTTGGAAGTTCGTCTTATTCATACAGTTGGTTGCTAAAAAGTTACATTTATATTTTTTCATTACAAGTTACTTTTGCAACATGGATTTTACAAAATACTTATCTTGCTCATTGTATAAAATTTTAGGAAAAAGCTGTCAAAGATTAAATTATTTTAGGGTTTTATTTTTTTTATATTGCATGAAACATTATGTCTGATGTAACACATAAAAAAGTGAATACGATCCATTATAAAAAAAAGAGAAAATGAAAAAGTAAATCTTATCCATTTTTTTGTATGTTGCATGAAATAATTTATTTCATGCAACATGAGAAAAATAAAAATGAGAAAAATAAAAATCATTATTTTATGATGCAAATCGCCAAGCAATGGATTTTAAAAATTCTCGTGAAAGCTTTCACTAAATTTGAGTTCAGTTGTCTTCGAAGTTCAAACACGAGTACTTAAAGTGAATTTGATAGGTAAAATTAGGTACAATTGATGTTAGGGGAAAAAAAACATAGGTAAAACTGATCTCACCGCAGTGATTCTCAACACTCCAATGATGGGCAATGGTGACTAACTTCCGATAGGAACCCCTGCATCTTCAGTCAGCACAAATATAAATACTACACGAAAAAAGTGGGTCAACAGTTAAACTTACACGCTGCTTCAGTTGCCAAACTAAATTCTGAGCGTAAGCGCTCAATCAGCCTACAATTTATCTATTCTTCCGCACAGATGAACATTACAACAATTGGCGTCTAAAACATCAGGGGAATCACAATTGAGGGTTAATGGTATCGATTAGTAAACAAAATGAAAAATTATATCCTATTCTCAATTAGGCCATTGATCAAGTCCCAGCTGCAAATTTGCTCTTCTAGGAGTTTATGGTTGCCTTTAGCATGATAATAAAAAGCAGATTTATTCAATGTTAGCAACAGCTTCTGGCCCACACAATCGTTCCAACTCTTCCTGCAGACAACAATTGCAGTCAGATGATACGATTTGAGGTTGTAACATGACAACATGGTCGGGTCAGGAAAATTTACCTTGATAGAATTATTTTCAGATGTAAGCTTCTCGCATTCTTCAGATACTCTCTGAAGCTCTTCTCTCAGATTTCGATTCTCATTTCCCAGTGAATCCACCCTCTTTTGTAACTCTTCACACTCAGCCTGGTTGGAACAAAAAATAAAAAACACATCCAAATGTTGTAATAAAGTAGCACTGAATATAGTCAAATAAAGATAGCTTTTCCAGCCTACAAATACCTAGCAATTAGTTTCACACTTAAACAAGGGGGCATGAAGTAGAAATTCCAAAATACCTGCTTGCGTAACCTTGACCTCCTAGCTGATTCTCTGTTAGACTGTTTTCTCTTCTGTCTTTTCAGCTCACGTTCGTCCTACCAAAAAGAAAGAATGCAAAGTTGTAATACAATAATGGACACCTATCTATGGGAAGTACAAGGTATCAACAAAACTAAAATGCTTTTCTGGTCTATTAAAATAAGCTTAAAGAAGATAATAAAATGTTAACTGTGGAAAGAAAAAAAGTAAAACATGCTCAGAACAATTTTTAAGAAAAACTAATGTGGGAACCATACTTGTATCCACTGTTCACCAAGTGCGACTTCACGTCCCATTATGGTTGAAGGAGCAACATTTCCCGAGGCAGCAGATTGATTATGTCTCATTTTTGCAGCTTCAACACCAGCAGGAGATGCATTCCATAAGTCCATTCCAATATTAAGATTACTTGCAGACATTGACACAACAGGCTTTCCAGGCGTGGAAGATTGAGAAATTCCACCCACAGAATTGTTCTGTGCATTGGCTCCTGAAAAGGTTCCCCCAAACATAAAATTGTTTGAGCAACCATGAAAAAAGAAAGTTAATCATGAAGAAGGATGCAGCATACCATCAACAAACATTTGGTCAAAGCTCCCCTTCTTGTTTGTAGCTGATTCCTATAAAGAAATATAACTTATGAGATTGCAGGAAACAGAAAGGAAAAAAGATCATCATTCTTTCAATCAAACCAGTTCAATTGAGACTTTTACCAAAAAAATTAAAAGTAATAGAGACAGCTAAGTGTAGAGTATGAATGAGCCAAGTAGATTTCGAGAAGGTTATTATTATTTAGTAATTTACTTTAACCGAGTGAGAGCACAAGTACCGATGATAAACAGTGACATACCTGTTGGTTAGAATTCTCATCACTGGCATCTGAAGATCCCTCTGATCCACTTTCAGAGCTGTTAATGAAATTTTGTAAAAAATGGATATTAAGGAAGCAAACTGAGGAGAAAAAACTCTAAAAAAGATCTAAAATTAACCAGTGGCTTGCTAAACCTTTGTGAGATTCCATCATTTCCTGACCCTGAGCGTGCCTTTCCATTGTCTCCTGCTTTGGAACCAGTATTTCTAGCTGTTCCCTTCAGATTTTTAGCAGCAACCCCATTTTTTTCATTAGGTCCCTTGTCTACAAACTCTGCACCATGCTGTATGGCGCTTGGAGTCTACAAAAACAATTAAAAAGCCAAAAAGAACAAAAAGCGAACATTATAAATGAAATGCAAAACTAGAACAGACCTAGCATTTAAAGTTTCCTAGAAGCATGTCAATTTATTTTGTATAAGTAAATATTACAGAGAAATCACATTTTTGTGCCCAGGGGTTGAGGGGTAAAGAGATTAGAGTGAGCAAGATGGGATACCGCTGCCATGCTAGGATGAGCATAGACACTCCCAGGAGGATACATAGCTGGATATGGAACAGGAGTACCATATGGTGGAATTAGAGGATGCTGAAAAAAAATAGAAAAAATTGTAAATGTGAACTTTCTCTGACATAGAGTATGCTAACATATATTAAAAATGAAATATGATATATATACCTGGCTTCCCCACAAATAAGGGTGTGGAGTTGGGGAAGCAACAGTTGAGGCAAAAAAAGGAGGGGGAGTGGCTCCAGGAGCATAATAAGCCTAAATGAGAAACTGACATGTTAGATACCAAAATTATTTATCTGAGCTTTCACAAATACAAAAGTTTGATTAGAAAGTCTATATCACATTTTACACCAACCTGCATGGAGCTTGACCAATCAGGATATGACGAAGGTGCCAACGGTATCTATAGTTAATAGTTAACAGAAACGATAATAAGGAGGTAGGTCAAAGGACCAGAAGAATTAAAAAAGTAAAGGGTGATAGTAAAGAAATAACCTGAGTAGAAGAAGTTGGTTTAGAAGGTTTAGCCGTGCTTTCTTCTCCAGTTCCCATCCAGATCACTCAGAAAAACTTCCCTTTCAGTGCCACCAAACCAAAAGACTTGTGATCAGATCAAGTTCTGATAACTGTTTAAGTCATTATATCAACAAGCACGAATGTCAGACAACACCACTGAATAAAGATATAAAATAACATATCACTAGTAGCACTCAGATTAATTATCAGCAACTTTCAAATCTAATCAAGTTTAGCATATTGTTTTCAAGATCTTTTGTCCCAAAATATGAATTGTTAAGCACTTTGTTTAGAACCAAATATATTAATATCATCAAGGAGGGTGAAAAGCTGACCCTTCTCTAGATGAGATTTGAATTAATGGTCCAACAACAATTCTTAATTGGAAAGGTTGATGCTCTAGGTCTTAAGATAAATAGGCTTACTTCAAAAACAGAATCTGAGAAAAAACATTAGTGATCAAATCTGAGAATCCAAGTTTAAATTAAAAACTATTTTGACTAACTTAAAATATGACAATTAGTTGCATTTCCACTTTATCTACCAGAAAATTAATGCAATCAACAAATAGTATTAGCAAAGAAAGGAATTTTTTTAACAGAGTGACTTTTCAACTACAAAGTATTAAGATCGTCTTACAATTCTAGAAACTAAGTTCAATAATTTTGAGTAAAAGAAAAAAAAATTGTAATACTGAGCCTCACTTGAAATGGTTACCCCTTAAACACAATCATTGATTAGCAAATGGACAAGAGATAACAGCTTACCCATGACTAAGTCTTATCATGCAACAAATAGGATGATAAGAATCCGATTCACAAAAGGAAAGCATGAAAGAGACATGGAGACAATATATTTATGTTCAAGTTTTTCCTGACTTAGCAACATCACTCAAATATATATATATATATATATATGTTTGTATTCACATATATAAGTGCAATTTCCAGTGATGTGATTTTAGGTTTATAGTTGATTGTATCTTACTTACGGACTGATTATACTGATATTATTTATCAGGACAATCGTGCTTAAAGTCATCTTATGTGGAGTTAAGCGCAATATCAAGATTAAAATAAGGATTTTATTAGGGGAATTCTATGGTGCCTCTATTTAGTTTGCCTTTATTATTGTATATTGAATTAAAAAAAATCTTGTATTTGTTGACAAATCATCACTTAGTCACATCATATATTTATTTTGAAATTGCTTAGGAAGAAAGATGCAAGACTAGTTGTATTTGAAAAAAAAAACAGAAAACTAAAACTCAATATAGGTATTTAAATGTACTTGGCTTAACTTATAGTTTTCAGATTTAATTCACCTTTCAAGACAATATTTTATTGGTTCAATCAACAGAAAATTATGCTGAGTAGTCTATGCAAGAATCTCTCATGAATTCAGATGAAAAATCCAAAGATTAACAATACTTCTACTGTACACCACTTACTATAGTAACATAGAAACCTCCAAACTTTTTCACTATATACCTACCATCTATATAGGTAGCATAAACATATGGAATTAATAGGGATGAGACGTCGTACCCTCCTTGGCCTTATCCCGCTTTAACCATTTTTTGATCGTTGTAACTCTCGTTTTCAAAAATTGCTAGTAATACAATTTTTCCAAATATTTTTTATTATTTTTATTTTTTATTTATAGAACAAGTATATAACATAATCCAATAATACAGAGTATTATTAAAAAAAAAAACTTAGGAGATAAAGTTATATTCAGCAATCCGAAAATTATGTTATTTTAAAAATCGAGTGAATTAATAAAAGGTATTTTAATAAAATTTATAAAATAAATAAATAAAATTCTTAAAATATCCTTTATTAATTCTCTAATCCTAATTTTATCTCTTGTAGCAAGAAAAATATGTTTCCCTTAAAAAAATGTTAGAAAGAGTACGCTGCTAACTTCTTCTTTTTTTTTTAGTACACATGCTAACTTCTTTTTAAATCATAGATGATTAGTGACTGCAACATTTAGGAAAGAAAGAACTTTTCCAAAAAAAATAATAAATAAATTTAGGAAAGAAACTATATGAATATTTCATTTTATATAACATCGATATCAAAAAGTTTGACACCAAAAGTAGTTTTTTCATTGAATGTCTTCTCTGCACCTTATCAAACGGACCCAAAAGTAGTTTTCCTCCATTTTTTCGCCTTCTTATCCGTAAGATTATGCTAGTATTTAATATTTCACATTGCTGTTTTTTAATTCCGCTTTTGAGTCAGCAAAACAAACCAAACCAAATCCTATCATAGACTCCTTACGTCAAAGACAAATCGTAGTAAATTGGTGCTATAGCCTATAATTACAATAAAATAAACTGAGCATTGCTGCAAACATAAGAACAATGGGATTCTATCGAAATAATCATAATTCTTCAAAGCTTTCTTTTTCCGCTTACTATTCTCGTGTGGAGAGGATTAAAAAAAACAAACTAATTAAATAGAATTTGACTATTAACAAACGGCAGCAAACAAATTTAACAACCAATTAGCGAAGAATCAGGAAGAGCAGAAGATGAAATCATTGCAAAATCGGAATTCTCTGAGAGGGCAGAATTTGAAGCAAACGGAAATTCATTTCAATCAAATAACCAAAAGAAAAGAAAGCAGAAAAATGAAGTGAAAGTCAGAGTGCACATTTCAAAAACCAAACTCAAGCTGAAAAGGGTTGAGATCCCGAAATGAAGAGAAAGCTACAAAAGAAGAAAACTAATTTAGCTAAGCACAACGCACCAACATCACTGTCCCATAAATATATAATAATTAACAGAAAAATAGAAGAGAGAGAGAGAGAGAGAGAGAGAGGGAGTGACCTGTTTCAATGGCGCTACGAAAGATGGCGAAAAACGGTGAGGTGGAAGTCCAACTGGGATGGACAAGGAAGATTAAAGTTCAACTAAGGACTTTGCTTTGTTTTGGTTTGTTGTAAGGAACCAAACAGGTTGTTTCGTTTTGGGTCTTGTTTTGGTTTTGTACGGTATAACAAACAAAGACCACAGAATAGAAAAAAGAAAGAAAGAGAGTGCGTGGCAAAATTTGTGTGACTCCTCTTAGATGTTAGAGACAGGACAGGAACGAAATGGTAGTATGGTAAGGACTTTACGTGAAACTTGAACCGAAATCAAATCAAACGTAACAAACATATTCAAGTTGAAGGAAGTGGCAAGGTCCAACGAATGCGAGTTTGGTTGGGTTTGGGGCTTTCTGCGTGACACGTTCGAGAAAGAGGATTACAGCTGTCAATGTCTTACTGGATTAGGTTTGGTCCATTGCAATTTACACCGTGACTCATCACACAACTATTTGCGTTTGTGGTTAGTTAGGAATTAGGATAACATTATTAACTATTGTTTTTTCAATTTCTTATTTTTCATTTATTATTTTCATCTAGCGTGTGGTATTGAATGCCAGGCCAGCTGGCACACACTCATACTATCTCTCTCCATATATATTCGTGTCCGGTACTTCGCCTCCGGTTTCCGCTCATTGTCTGCGTTGCTTCTTTTTCTTTTTCTTTGTTGTGCTAACGCCGCACGCCATAGAAAATTCTTACTGTGTCAAATATCACTTATTAGTTACTCTCAATGTGGCCTAATTCGACTAATTTTTTAGATATAGACTTAGATATGGTTGAGTTATAATTAGGTTTGGGATCGGGCCAAAATTAGACAAAATATACTAATTTTAATACTATATGATATTGTTATCAAATTTTAGAATGTTTTAAAGGCTTTTATTTTTAATTTTTTAAATGATAATGCATAGTTTATATAATGTTAATTTTAATGCTTAATGTTATAATCAAATATATAAAATTAATTATGCTAAGAATATAATGTTTTTCTTTTGAACTAATTCATTTAATTATGATAAACATATAAAAGATATATTTTTTAAAATATTAATTAAAATTGTTATCATATTATACATAATATATTAATTTCAATAACGAAGTATCATGATTTGTTATTAATTTTAAAAAAAAAATCACAAACCTTAAAATTAACGTTGTGAAAACCAGAACTTGTAGTGTTGGATAGGTTAAGTGAGGCATGCAATTTTAAACTAACTCCATTTGTTTTTTATAAAGTTAATAAATTTGACCCAATAAATCTTAACCGTTAATTGATGAAAATTAACGGTTAGAATCTAAAATGACATTTATAAAGTTAGAGCTTTTTAAATGACAACGGTTAGGTCAAACTGTATAGTTCAATCCCAATCAAAAATTACATCGAGTTTAATTCTTTAAACTCAAACTCGACTTAGTTATTCTCGAGCGAAATTAGGCTTAGTTTTGAGCAGGAGTGTAAATGGGCTGGGCTGGGCTGGGCTATGGCCTTTCTGGCCCAAGTCTACGTAAAAAAAAATTCAGCCTATCTGGCCTACTGGCCTATTAAAGGCTTTATTTGTAGGCTAAACCCGACCCATTTTTAAAAATAAGAAAGCCTGACATGGCCTATAGGCCTTGTAGGCCTACCACTGTAAATACTAAGCAAAAAAAATAATTGTATAGAGCAAAGAAAGTTCCATTCATGCATGCACTAGTACTTCTCATAAGAAAAAAATGACAAACAAGAAAGAGTCAATATAATACCCCAGCTCTAGAATGTATATCATAGAGGAATAAAGTCAAAGAAATGGGGAAAATAAGAAAAATACAATTACTAGATGCTGAAATAAAGTCTACAAGAGTTTTACCCAAAAAAGTCTGCAAGAGAATGTCATTCATCTAAAAATCTTTAAACCACCTTCAAGACAAGGGAAAAAAGAGTATTATTGAAAGATCTTCATCAGTAACATCATAATCCAGCAAGGTACCCATTGCTCCATGGTATTAAGCTGCAACAACATGTAAAATTTGGAGACATTAGACAAGTTTTCCTTTCATAAAATAAAACCAACAAAAAGTAAAAGACGAAGCCGAGAGTGAGAAGCGGCGGTGCACATAAAAATTAGGGTTGGTATTGGTACTTTGCCACATAATATAAATATTATTTTATTATTTTATTTTAATAAACTAAATAGGCCAGCCTACAAGGCTGTAGGCCGGGCTTGACAAAATTGACCTATGGCCTATTTGTTATAAAAACTTTTTTATAAGCCTAAGCCTACTCTACTTTTCTGAAAGGCCGGGCTAGACCGGGCTTAATGTAGGTCGGGTTGTAGGCTGGGCTGGGCTAGCCTGGCCTATTTACACCCCTAGTTTTGAGCACTCCGACTTGCGCTTACCTTCTGAGTCTCTGTATATACGTAAGCAATAAATAAAAATAGATTTGAACGTGAAAAGTAGATTTTAAAGAATAAACTATGGGGAAAACTAATATTATGTAACATGATATAACAATTTTTACCTACTCACCCTTGGTTTCCGCACCAGCATTTTTTATTTTTTGTTTTTATTATATGTATGGGACTCACGTGATTTTTGTTTGAGTAGGAAAAATGCTTTAGATTATGTTACATGATAATAGGTTTACCCATAAACTATATGATCCTAATTGTGAATAAATAATAAAGAGAATGGCTTTTATAATTTGGGATAGGATATTGTGACACCCAAGTTATGTTACACCCATGTGACACCCAGTCAATTTCACCGTTAGATCGCTTATGTTGATCCAACGGTTATATTTATTTTCATCTTTGTATGGTCATGATTTCCCAAATTTAATATTTTATATTTATTTCTACCTTTGTATGGTTATGATTTCCCATATTTAATGCTTTCACTTTAAATTTGGGAAATCATGACCATACAAAGATGGAAATAAATATAACCGTTGGATCAACATAAGCGATCTAACGGTGAGATTGACTGGGTGTCACATGGGTGTAACATAACTTGGGTGTCAGAATATCTTATCCCTTATAATTTATACATATGTGGGCGTATGATCTTTATCGCTGGTTACATAATTTAAAATTTTAAATCCTCAGTAATTACAATTCTGCACCTTCACTCTTCATTATCCAAATCCTTAAAAAAGCAGTAGGAGAAAGAAATGAAACAAAAAACAAAAATTCGCTTACATTGTCATATTTCTGTTTGTGATCGTTACCGTTGTTTATAGGATCTTCGTATTTGTTAATCAAAGTCCTCCACGTGGATGAGATTCATTCTCACTTTTGAGATCGTTTCTAATTGTCCAAACGCTTCAAATCTCATCCAATTATGGCTCCAAACTATAAATATTGTTGTGGATACGAGCAATTTAGCTCAAAAAGTATTAAACAAGGCCTAAAGCCTATTAGGCACAGTCCAAACACAAGGACAATAGGCCTTTTAGGAGTTAGCATAAAAAAAGAGAGAGTAGGTGTTAGGTTTCACTAAACTAGTTAAATTATGTCTTCATGCAAGCTACAAAAGAGAGAAATCGTGAATTATATCATGCATGTTATTTAATATGATCTTAATGATTTTAATTATTTATGCACAAATTAATAATTTTATCATTTTTTATCCCAATATTTTTTCGCTCTCATTATTATTGATTTGCTCATAAATAATCATGATCCTCATCCATTCCCCTTTCTCATTATTGGACTCGAAATGGTGAAGAATTTGAAGCATAGAAGCTTGTACATAACCCTTATGATAAGCTATGATGATCTAATTCTATATATTCTATAGTCAAATGACAAGGATTAATCACAAATGCATCAACATAATTGTAAGTCAGCAAAGACCAAAATTTTGAGAGTAATTTATGTTTTAAAGAGACAAAAAAAGAGAGAGAAGGAATTCGCACCTAAAAACACGACGAAAAGCACGAAACTAATGCTTGGTTTGGGTAGGACTACAAAATCAGAAAAAACAATCCACAATAAATAAATATAAATATGACAAAGCATTAATGACATTAAGTACAAACAATCCACAGTAAGTCCTTGAATTCTGTTTTCTAAAAGTTTCATATAATAAAGAGCTGAAATCCAATTATTGCATTCAAGACAGCAGTGCAAATCTTAGGAGCTTCATTATATTAAGCCTTTAGAAACTGAGTCACCATTCTTGATGCATGCGAAGGCATGTCAAATCAAATGCCAAAGGAACAACGAAAGCACTTGAGTAAACTCTTGAGCTTGCTTTTCTTTTTTGGCTTGCTTTCCGCTGTGTCAGAGTAGGGGTTCTGTTCTCCCCTCAGAGACTCAAACTCACACTTTATGCGGTCCTTGGGTTTTATTATAGTCCCATGATCATGTATCGAAATGTTTTTCACAGACTTTGGGCCTTTGGCCCGTATTTTTGGACATGATTCTTCACTGTTACTATCGATTTCTTCAATCTCAGTTATGCTGGCAAGTGTAGTCCTTGTTGAGTAACAATGTTGGAGAAACATTGTCAGTGTTTCAGTGATCTCCGTGAATTCTGGTCGCTGTTTTGGGTCTTCTGCCCAGCAGGATTGCACGAGGGGAAGTAGATGTTGTGGAAACTCATCCAAACTTGGCCTTTTGTTCTGCAACAACCAGCAGGAACATAGATTATATCACAACATGCCCATGTTTAATGGATTAAATCTCACAACTATGTAATTACCAAACCCATAACTGCTATATATTCAGAGTCTTCAGACCAAAATGTGAGCCATTAAGGCTTGCAAACTTACTGACTTCAATTCTTTGGCATATAGCAAGACACCTAATTTGTTATTCTTGCTTTAAAAATATCAGAAATATAGAATAGGGTAAAACCCCTGAAAGATTTATTGTCAGGAACTACACCAAATTATAAAGTCAGGGTTTATATGAAGGACCCATAAAAATATTATGTCCCTGATCATATCTAGTGATGCACAAGAAAAAATAATAATGAATACGAACAGTAGAGTAAGCCATATTTTGCAATTCTATACTACTTATCATAGCATTTATGGCAAACACCTTATGGTTGAAGTGAAGATATTTAAAAAAAATAAAAATAAAAATAAACTACTAGGATGCAAGATTTATTGAAATCTATAAAAGGAAGATATAAAAATAGAAAGGAAGGAAGAATTTCCAGAGTAAAATTAGAACTCGAGTAGTATTAAGTAATTACATACGTTTGCTGTATCATATGCTGCCATCAAATTTTCCCTTTCTTTAAATGGAATTTGGTTTTTGATCAAGGACCACAGAACTATTGCGAAGCTGTAGACATCTGCCTTGCGATCATAGAATTTCTTTACTCCCTTTGGAAGTGGATCTTTGCTGAACAACTAGTGCAAATATTGGAAAAATTAAACAGACATGATGAAGATTCTGTAGTAATAGGAACAGGTAATGGTGATCTGTTTCCTTATGCAGAGACAATATATATATATATATATATATATATATATATATATATATATATATGTATATATATAATCCAAAGAAATATACCTCAGGAGCCATATATCGGTAACTACCAGCCTCACAAGTCATCTCATCACATATATCCTCTCTAGCTATCCCAAAATCAGCAAGTTTAACAAGCTTCTTGTCTTTCGTTAGAAGTAAATTACCTAGAAAAGACATAGCATTCACAAAAGCACAAGCAAACCTGATTTTATAGTAGAAAACATTTCGAAATTAAAACAAATATGACAGTACGTATTTGGATACTCATCAGAACCAAAAATATTTCATTAAATTATATAAAGAAAAACTCATTAAAAGAATAAAGAAAAGGATTACTAGGCTTCAGATCACGGTGAATGATGCCATTTGCATGCAAACACTCCATAGCTTGAGAAATGTCCAGAGCAAAACTTAAAGATTGTTCCAAATCTAAAGTCATTGGATAGATGCTGTTCAAGTTTTTCTGAAGTGAACCACCTTCCAAAAGTTCTGTGATTATCACCATTGATGGTTCCACAGAGGCGCCAATAAACTGCAAAATAAGTTTAAATTATTCAACTGGCCAACTCTGAAATGTTAAGGTAGACTGCTTTTATGTGGAAGAAGAGAATGTAGTGTTGACGAATGATAGTTATGTTTAGGGCGTCGAAAATCACAAAATAAAACAAAGAAAACTGAAATGACTGCTTTGAGACTTAGGCACTTAGAATATAGAATTTTATGAAACGGTTGTCCTATTACCTCCAAAGAAAAATGGGTCATGCTATGTTTTACATACTAGATGCCATGTTCTTTCAATCTTAATGTGTATGATATGAAGAAAAATGAGTGGCAGGATCTCATGTCTGTTAGTACATTGCCCTATATATATATAGCTACCATAAAGGAAAATTTCTAAACATAAATTTATTAAGCTATTGATATCTTAAGCATTATTCTGGAAGTTGACAGAAGAATAAATGGGATGAAAGCTTTCATTCTGTTGCTGAAAAAGGAAGCTCGTTACTTTTCATGCTAAAACATATAGATAATAAACGTGGTAAACAACGTAGCTTGATTAGAAATCCATGGCTATAAATACTTTCACATTTACAATCCCTACGAAAAAAAGAAAAAAGCTTCTATGCTTTCAATGACAAACAGCAGCCTATAGATATCAAGTGTAGCTTGTGACTGATGATATAATTACCTAATTCTTTGATAAATTCGAGTTAAAAGTCATTAAAAAATAAAAAAATAAAAAAATCTCCGTAAATTTAGAGAGGAATCAAACAAGTATGAAGGCATTCACGTAAGAGAAGACACTATCAAATACCTTCACAATATTTTTATGTTTAATCCTAGATATCAAGTTCACCTCCCTCTGAAATTTCGCCTTACATTCTGGGGTAGCATCCCTGGTTCTTTCTGGGAGTATAACCTTTATAGCAACAGGATGGTCTTCGTACCTAAAACAACACGAATTAACAATAAAACATTTAGTATTAGAGGAAACATTATATGAAAAGTTTTGGTTTTCGTACACTTAAAATGCTCTAATGAAACTCGCACACGTCATGTAATATACAAAAATTTGCATACATGTTGCCACCTATAATTTGGCTACAGTACATAATCTTGTTAGTAGAGAACTCATTTATATATCCGTTTGGAAAGCAAACACAGGCCGGATGTTCCCCTGTATCCTAAAAACTATCACTATATAAAGACAAACTTTTCAATTAACTTCGAGATAAGCTTCTCTTCTATAGTGTGTCAACCCAAAATTTAAAACTATTTGGTTTATTGGTTTCTTTCTTATGACATGAGACTTTATTCCTAACACTTAAATTTCCAACAATCTTTTCTCAAGAACCTGACATGTTTTATTTTTAGCTTCTCTTTCTCAAAAAAAAGTCGAAGCTTAATCAAAGATAATTTTATAAAAGCTCTTATTATAAAAGACATTTTTTTTATAATGAAAAAAAAAAGGTTAAAAGTTAGAAGCTCCCATGAAGAGGCTTTTTTTTAAGATGTATATCCGTTTTTTGAAGTTCTCATATTTATTTTACAATTTTACCCTTATTTTAAATTTGTATTTATAAATTTTATCCTTTGTCCTAATAATCCATCATAATAAAAAATTATTTTATCATCTCTAAACAACTTTATATAATTATCAAATAACTTTTAATTTTATTTTTTAAGCTCTTTTTAACTTTAGTTTAAAAATAAATTTTAGCTTTAACAAAATATGTCAACCAACTCATGTCTCAACCCAAAATCTTAAGGATTAAGTTTATCAGTCATTTTACTTATATATTCTTTAGTTAACTTATTCCTTCCCAACGCAAAATTTTATTACTCACACTTGGATTCTCATATAAAATATTAATTTCTGAGTTATCTACTTACCTAACTCAATAGTCTCTATTCAGCTAGCCATTCTCATAACTCTCAAAACGATTATATACTGCTCAAGAATTTGAACCACAAATTAAGAGTCACTACACTAATAAGAGCTATGTCTTGACAAGTTTATATTACTAATATAAACCTAGATGGATTATGAGTAATAAACCAAGAGGATTTTGCTCACATATTTTACTTTCATCCACTTCCCAAAAAGAAGAATATACACAGTATCTTTTAAGGATATACGTATCAACTGAGTGGGGTTACCTTGTTTGCACTGTGGTATCAACCCCAACTTAATTTTCCACATAGAATTTATGAGATTTCATGTCTGATAGCTTCGTTATTAATATATATATATATATATATATATATATATATATATATATATATATAGTAGATAACAAGCACTTAATTAATGTGTGCCACTGACATGGAAACCCAAAGATCCAGGAAAAAATGCAAGTCAAAATTCATTGGACCACAAAATTAAGCTTCAATGATCACAATTGAACTCGAGTATATATATAATATAGAAAAATTAATAGTAAGGTTGCAAGACGATACATCAACCTTTCAATTAATCATGTGAATCATTCAAAACCATCAAACAAAAGGGTTGATCATGACATTCACGACAAAATAAGTGAATTAAATCAAAGAAGAAATCAAAAGCAAACGGAAAGTCGGGAAAGACACGCGAACGCAAGTATATATGAATAAAGCCAAAAATATATTAAAAGACAAATTCATAGTAGTAACCAGGGGTGCCCACCATCCTTTGTAGACAATCGAGTGAGACCCTTCTCCGATCATGTCGCCAATGGTTAGTTTATCATGGTCCACTAGCAAGCTAGGATCAATATCAAAGACAAAGCCATCATCGAAATCAGCAGCAACATTGTCACTTGGGCCGAGTCCAGTGTTCTCTGAGGACCAAGTGTGTGAGAGATTGAAGAGAAGCTTATTTTCCGAGACTGAGAGCTGTGGAACTTGCTGTGCCATTGCTTGGTTGTATTACAGACGAACAGGTTTGGTAGCATTTTTAAAATCCAATGTACAGAATAAACTTGGAAATTGTTGTAACATTTTTGGAAACTCATTTCTTTCCTATTTGAGTCTTTTACCGGGCGTCAAGGGATGTTATTGCATGTGATAGATGACCTATCAACAACTTGTCATTTATTTCAAAATCCAAATTCAGGTTTTTTTCCTTTTTAACGGGATCGAAATTAATGAATACTCTGGCGCCAAGATACATTCCTTTTTTCTTCTTCTTTTCTTCCTTTTAAACCTTTTCTTTTACTTAATAATTTAGGGGAAGGATATTGTAACAACCAATTAATGTTACTACCAATGTTACTACCAATTTTACTACCAATCAATTTCACCGTTAGATCGATTCTGTTGATCCAACGGTTATATTTATTTCCATCTTTGTATGGTTATATTTATATTTATTTTCACCTTTGTATGTTTATGATTTCTTATATTTAATGTTTTTACATTAAATATGGAGAACCATAATCATACAAAGATGAAAATAAATATAACCATTGAATCAACATAATCGATCTAACGGTGAAATTGATTGGTAGTAACACTTTGTTATAATATCCTATCCAAATAATTTATAATGTACTCTCTTAAAAAATATCTAATTTATTTTACCAAAAAAAATCTAATTTATAACTGCCTTCAACTCAAATTTTAAAACATCTAACTTCATTGAACCTACACGTTTTATTTTTTCCGGACCAGATAAATTGTTAGTTTAAATTTATTTTAAAAACGCAAACGTTAAAAATAAATTTGTAGCTTTTCCAGAATTATTTCCATAATGTACTAAAATTATTTTTTTTAAAAAAAACTCTTTCTTTTGGACTTACATAAAATATAGTACTATAGTGCGTTGAAAGCAATACATGTACGCTCAAATTACTGATTTATTTTACGAATGTAATTTGTGTTCAAAGCTAAATGACACTCTTTATAGATGAATAGATAAAATGTATATATATGAAAGTGTCTAGTAAACTAAACTATTTTGAAATGATTATAACTAATGTGACATTGTTTTGATTTGTATTGGTGTTGAGTCAATCATATTTCTTGCTTATGCTTATGTTATTATCATGTTCTAGAGACATCACTTTGTATATGGAAGGCCTAATCATATTACTATGCGTCTCGAAGGGAAAATTCTTATGATCAAAGAGTATGTGTACGGATACCCTTGCAAACAAAATAATAATAATTATCCAGATAGATTAAGTGAATTTGAATATATGGAAAAAACCTGTAATTAACTACATCGGAGATATTCTCAAATATTAATGAAGTGTAAGGCATTAGTTGAATAATAGATTTCATCATAAAGAAACAGAAAGAATAAATATATGTCGTGTACTGCTTTTGATATGTAAGACCATTATCACTTTAATATAAATTTAAAATAATAAATAGTTATTCAATTACTCATATTATCAACTATTTCATAATTTGATTAAAATCTAGAGATTGGAAAATATACAGATTATTATCTTTATTTTTAAGATATTTAATATTTTTATTCCAAAAAATCAAAAGAAAAAAGGTTCAAATGTGACTAAAAATATCTAAAAGTTCATAGCAAAAGTTCAAAGCAAAAGTTCAAATGCAAAAATTAAGCACAACTCAGCTTGGTATGGAGTCAAAATAAAGGTCAAAAGTTCATAGATAATTTTTTAATTCCATGCTAAATATTCCATTAAATAGTATCAAATTAAGTATTTGAATAATGTTTTTTGTACATCACAATTAATGTGGCCAAAAACCTCAAATTAATTAGTAATGCAGTTGTTTGGTATATAATTAAAGTATCTTTTTCTTTAGAAAGTAAGTATTTATTTTATTGACTATTATTATAATATTTTAGATTTCCTCATTCAACTCGTGTTTTCAAATAATTTAATTGTCAAAAAGTAAATGAAAAAAAATGCTTATCAGTTTAATATTACAATAAATTAGAGTCACCTTCAATACTAGCATTTAAATCTCATTAACACGTATTATTTTAATTAAAATAAAAATAAAATATTTTTTAAAAATATAATGAAGAGAAACTGTAATCACAGAATTTATAAAAAAAAATTATGACTAGAAAGAAAAAAGTTGACGAGTATTTAAAAATAAATATGTTAGAGAAATTTAATATAACTTGAGCTTTTATATTATATGATTATTTAATATATATGGTATCAGAGTTGGTAATTAGTGATTATGAGTTTGATTCTCGATCTTCACTTAACACATGTATCTTATAATATTTATATCTATAATAAGATATAAATATAAAATAAATTATTTATAATTTTGTTTTTGAATTTATGTTTAATTAATGATAATGGAAATTTAATACTAGAAACAAATTACAGATATATGTATAGAAAGACGACACAACAAAAATAGAATGGCCGATTAAAGTAGGATCAATAATTTAAATTCTATTTAAAGTGCAACAACAACGCAAATGAGCACTATTATCAAGGTTGGTTGAACAGTGCATAAAACAAGCAAGTAAACTGAGTTAACATCTAAATCCCTCTAGTAGGCAAATTCCATTAGACAACTCTAAATCAAAACCAAAGCAATTATTTGATGGGAATTGAAACCAAGACCGGCGATCAACTTATAAGATAAACATCAAGGACATATATGTGTTTCATTACATGTTAACTAACCACACTAAAATTTATCTCAACCTTAGAGAGATATTTGATGCACTTAGAATTGGCTTTCATGGAAGACTTAGATTTAGAATGTAATTTAATTTCTTTTATTGATCTTTTAAATATTGGGTTGATTTGATTTTAATTATTTCCTTATTTTAGGTGTGTTTAATGATGATTGATTTGTAATGAACTATATTTAAAATTTCCTTTTTTAAGACATATTTTAATTGATTTTTAGGTTTATTTGACACCTTATAAAAGGGTGTTCATGACTCCATTTATAGGTTGTTGAATTTTAAATATTGATTATTGTTTTTAAGAATAAGGATTCTCTTTTCAAATCCTAAATTCATTTGTCTAACTTTTTTTATGCGTTTTGGCATTAGTTGGTATCAGAGTTTAGGTTGGCTTTCACTAATGGCTAAACAAATTCATACTAGCATGAGTAGTGGGTTCACAATGGCAGAAGACATGGAATTGCCCCACAGATCGAAGATGAACAATCATGTCAAAGCGACCTATGCGACATAGAAAGAGCTACGATTATGAGTTGGGGAACTAGAATGATAATTTGCTAGATCACAATTGTCCGTTCAAACCTAAGACGAAATGGAATCCGAAGATGCTTCTGATTATAATGATAAGGAGGGAGAGACAATCCCTTAGCGATTCCGAGCCAAGAGCAAAATTGGGGGATTTTATGTAGAGTTCAATCTTATCTTCCAAACACCGGGATACAGATCAAGATTCTAAATTAGTACTTTGGCCATTTTGTCATTTATTGTCCAAATCATTAGGTTACGATGATTGTTGATAATGAAGACCGTGAATAAGGGTGAAACTGGGTCATACAGCCTATTAGCTAGGGGCTGTAGCCTGCAGCCTTTTTGCTTACTAGTACATTCTTGGGCTGGTTTTAAAGCTTGATTAATAATTGGGTCAAAATCTTAATTTAAGAGACTTGGCCCATGAGCCTTCAGGCTAGCCTTATTATTTTTTTAATATCCCATCCTTTTACCCCAACCAACCCAAGTCCGAACCCAACCCAACCAGTTTTCCTTCCAAAGTACCGAAAAACAATGATTTATTTCTACAATCTAAGACTCCATTCTAATTCTGACTCAGAAGTTTTTGATGTTTGTTTGAACTAATGAGGTTTTGTGCGTTCATTGCTTTCTGGGTAGGTTGGAGACAAAATTAATTGCAGAGATGAAGCTTAGAGATTTCTGTAAAAAAAGAAATTTGAGAATTCTTTTTGAGAGAAATTGGTAAACTTGGTGAGAACATTTTTGTTTGAAAGTATATTGATAGTGATTGAAAAAGAGAAACTAGGAAAGGAGAGCTAGAGCCTTTAAGAAAATCACTTAAGGAACTTTCTCTTTTGGTAATTTTATAATTTCTTTTTTTCTTCTGTATCTCCATTACTGCATCGAGAGAGCTTGAATGTTTGACAAACAATGAAGTATGTTTCTATAATGTGATATTCCAAATGGAGAGTGTTTATTTGAAGTTGTTATTTGTCTTGAGTTTAGTTTCCTGCTTAGTGTTTGATAAAATGTTTAAGTTTTGTGATGTGGCTTCCCCTATTTTGCTTCTCTGTCATTTTAAATTAATATAAACAAGTCTTGATACCTTGCACATCACTTGCTTTATTCAAATATGTTTATTGCGAGTCAGGTAGAAGGTAGCACTGTATTGTATTCGACGAAGGAATCTTACACCGGTCTCCCCACTAACCACTTGCTCGGTTTAGTTCTTGTGCGCTTCTTTCATTTTTCCTTTCTTTAATCATTTGTTTATGTTGTTCATATGCCATTATTGCTTTAATTTATTCCTTGCATGTTTATGCTGGAAGAATTACTGTTGCTAGAGATTGTTGGAATCTCTATTTAAATGAGAAGACAAAATTCAAATCTATATTTAGTGTTCCGAATGAAAGTGTGTGTCTTACAATTGATTGCTGGAGTTCCGTGCAGAATCTTAATTATTTGTGTCTTACTACTCATTTCATTGATAATGATAGGAAATTGCATAAAATAATTTGAACTTTTGTTTGATTAAGAATCACAAGGGTGAGACTATTTGAAGGAAAATTGAGAAGTGTCTTCTGGGTTGGGAAATTTCGAAAGTTTTCACTGTTACTATTGATAATGCAAGCTCAAATGATTTTGTTATTGCTTACTTGAAAGCTAAAATGGAGGATTGGAATGCACATCCATTGAAAGGTGAATATTTGCATGTTAGATGTTGTGCTCATATTTTGAATCTTGTTGTCAATAATGGATTGAAAGAGTTGCATGCTTCAATTACTAAAATAAGAAATGTTGTTAGATTTGTGTGTGCTTCCCTTAGTCATATGGATAGATCAAAGACTTGTATAAAAGATTGTAGGATACAAGAAGGTGACATAGTGTAATTAGATGTTCCTACTAGATGGAACTCTACTTATATTATGCTTGAAAGTGCATTGAAGTTTCAAAAGGCATTTAAAAGGTTAGGAGAGCATGCTGCTAAATATGCAATGATGCAAAGTGGAATTCCAAAAACGGGGGATTGGGATAATGCACGAGTGTTTGTGAGAATTTTGAAAACTTTTCATGATGTCACTGAAAAAGTGTCTGGTTCTTTATATGTGACTTATTCTCAATATTTTCATGAGCTTTGCATGATATTGAATAACTTAAAGACATGGAGTAGGAGTATGGATCCATTACTTGGGCCCATGGCTGAAAAAGAGAAAGCTAAGCACGACAAATATTGGGAGAACATTAAAAATATCAACATGATGATTTTTATTGCTATGATACTTGATCCCCGATATAAATTACGATTTATGTAATGGAGTTTTGAGAAGCTTTATGAAAGGGAGGATGCAAAATTTTTAAGTGTTAGAGTTAAGGAGACTTTAAACAAGATGTTCCATAGCTATAAACATTTTCATAGAAATAATCTTTCTCAATCGTCCACCAAAGATCGCCATGAGGTTGAAGACACTGATTTGGAAGCATTTGATAACTCTTCATTTGCTAGTGAATTTGAGACAGACATAACTGTGAGTGAGAGATTGAATAAAAATAAGGTGGATCTGTATCTCATGGAGCCACTACAGAAAGGAACTTAAAAATTTGATATCTTGAATTGGTAGAAGGTAAATTCTACCAAATATCCTACTCTTGGTTTAATGGCTAAAGATGTATTGGCTATACTAGTTTCTACAATTGCTTTGGAATCTGCATTCAGCGCGGGGGGTAGAGTTCTTAACAACTATAGGAGTACTCTTACTCCAAAGACAGTTGAAGCATTAATTTGTGCACAAAATTGGTTTCGATCTACGCATTTTTCCAATGATGTAGAGGAGTTTATAGAAGAATTTGTAAAGATGGAGATAGGTAATTTATTTTATTCTACTTGTATAATTTTTTATTTTATATCATTTTTTATTTTTCTAATTATTAATTTACTAACAATGTTTTGTTATAATTATTTTAGATATTTATCCAAATACAAAAGTTGATGATGATTCTGGTGAGGATTTTGATTAAAAGTTTATGATGTAAGAACAAAATTATTTATGAGAAACTTATTACAAAAAAAAAAAAAATTATTTATGAGAAACTACTCTATCTAGTTTTTTTTATTTGTGGTTGTTGTTGTCCTTTCATGTATGCTAAAAATTATTTAACAGGTTGCATGCTAATGATAATTGTTAATTGAATAAAAGTATTTTACTTGAAGCTGTTTGTGATGCAGGTGTTGGTACCTTTAAGGCTATTGCAAGGCAGGCTACCCATACCATCTTGGCTGCTTGCAGTTTCGAGCAGCCCTCAAGCTCAATATGCAACCATACTGACATACTCAGTTTCAGAAATCCACCTTAATGCCTAATTGTTGCCACCAATGCTTTTGTAAACAATGTTGTCAATTCCATCATGTTGAAGAAAGTGGATTGTACTTGATCTATATTATGCTCTCTCTTTTTGGTAAGATACATCATATATTTTTATTGTATGAGTTATTGTTGTACAACAACTCCTCTGTAGGATGAAAATTTGGGTTACTCCGTATCTCAGGTAACCACATTGTAATTTTTTTTTTTTTTTTTTTTTTTTTTGATAACATACATTGTAATTTTTTTGTTAGAGGTAAAAGATGGAATTTCAACTTTTTGTTGTACTATATTAAAAATTAGATTATTATTTACTGATGCTTCTAGATTGCATTATAATCATCATACAAACTTTACAAAGTCAATAGATACAAAAGATATGTTATTTGCACAATAATCATCATACAAGTTTTAGGCTTTTAAAAAAATCGAAAATTGATCCAATTCAAACCGAATAAAATTGGATTGGATCGGATTTGAAAAAAATCAAACCGAATGGATGATCACATGATCAAACCGAAGGGATTAGGTTGGATGATTTTTACTTCCAAAACTGATCCAATCCAGAATGGAGAGAAGATGATAAGAAATTTTTGACTACTACAAGCATCATGATGTGTTTGTTGGATTCAGGAAGTTATTTTAATTTACATAGTATGGATTGGTTTGTTCGATCTGATTAAATATGTTATTTTTTTTAGGTATTTTTCTTCTGAAGGTGACTTAAATGCAGATTGTGATAAGTTGTTATTGTGATTCATGGTTCTGTTTGGACGTCGAAATTGTGGTTTTTGTTTTATCAACAGAATTTGAGTATTTTATGAAGTTAATTTATGGCTCTGCTTGGAAATTAAAAATTAATAGGCTAACGGGTTAGACCAGGCCATTTGCTTTTTTATTTTTATTTTTTATAAATGAGCCAAGTCAGGCTAACAGTTAGACTCGTACTATGCTATTAGGCCAGGTCATATTGGAATTTTTTAGCATAGGCTTGGGCTTTTTGGGACAAATCTCGGCCCAGCCCAGTCCACTTACACCCTTAACCGTGAAGATTGTCTAGTCTATGACTCTGATGGAGAACAAGATTATGATGACGATCCAACCAATGATGACTCTGATAGAGAATAAGACTGTGATGGTGATCCAATCTCTGATGATTACAACGGAGAACAACATTGTGCTGGTGATCCAGTATATAATAACTTCGATGGAGAACATAAATATGGAAAGCCAAAGGACTATGTTGAATATAATGATGACTCTGATAGAGAATAAGACTGTGGTGGCGATCCAATCTGTGATGATTACAACGGAGAACAACATTGCAATGGTGATCCAATATATAATAACTTTGATGGAGAACATAAATATGGAAATCGAGAACAATATGTTGAATACGATGATGATTGTGAAGATAGTGAGATTTTATCCTTACTCCAGGCCTTTGTTTATATGGTATCAGAAGATATGCCCCTTGAGTTATCACCTATGAGTGACATTCAATATTGTATTGATTTTATTCCAGGATAGTTGTCATTCCCAATCAAGCAATACAGAGAATAAGTCCAAAAGAACATGAAGAGTTACAGAGATAAAGGTAGGAGTTGTTAAAAAAAGGTGCAATATGGGAAAGCATGAGTCTATGTGCAATTCTAGCCTTGTTGGCTCCTAAGAAGGATAGATCATAGAGAATATGAACAGATGGCAGAGCTGTCAACAAAATCACCATAAAGTTTATATTTTTTATCATATGTTTTTATTATTTAATTGTTGTATTACATGAAGCGATTATCTTCTCATAGTACCGGAAGAATTGCCACCTGGATTACCACGTGAAAAGGTTAATACCAGTGAAGAAAAAATAGATTCGAAGGCAGATCTTTTCCAAGCAGAGGATGATGATGCACTTACAATTGACTTACATCATGGGAAGATTTAGATTTGGAATGTAATTTGATTTCTTATTAATCTTTTAATTATTAGGTTGATTTGATTTTAATTATTTCCTTATTTTAGGTGTGTTTAATGCTCATTGATTTTTAATCAGATATATTTTAATTATTTGAACGAAAGTTTTTAATGCATACTTTGATTGTGTTTTTGGGTTATTTGACACCTTATAAAAGGGTGTTTATGACTTTATTTGTAGCTTGTTGAATTTTGAATAATGATTATTATTTTTGAGAACAAGGATTCTCTTTTATCGAATCCCAAATTCATTTGTTAAGTTAACTTTATGGGTAAATAAATCAAGGGAAAAATTAAAAAAAAAAAAAAAAACCTGTGATTTTGTTTGACCCCTATACTTTTTTTAATCATTTACCCCATATTATTTTTTCTATCCAAACTCATCATTAACACTATTAGAAACTTGACTTATTGTCCTATTTTACCATTCTTACAAGGCCAAATTATATATGTTACAAACTAAGGTAATTAGAAGTTCAAAATTTCCAATCAATAAAAATTCTAATTAATTTATAAGGTCTAACAAAAAAGAAAAAATAAGAAGAAAAAATAAGGCCAAATATGTTAAGAAACTTACAACACTTACAAAAAAGATTAAAAGTAAAAAAATTAAAATAAAATATAAGGAGAAAAAAAGATCAAATATGTCTAAATTAAAAAGAAGAATATAGATATAGAAAAAAAAAAGTAGGGAGGTTCTTACTTCTTAAACTTTTTTCATAAATTAATAAGGGGGAATTCACAGAAAAACAATAATAATTAATATAGGGTAAAATTTCCCAGTATGCTAGTGCATGTGGTGTCTGTAATACCAGAGCCCTTAAACGAGAAGCAAATACTTTTTGTCTATGTTCAAAGCTTCAAAGCAAATATTTCAAATGGGAATAATTAGGGTGGATATATTTATTCGTATCTCTTTAATTAGTATCTTTCATCTTTTTCCTTGAACAAACATTTAAGTCACGCATGTACTAAAAGAAATTATTCAAATAATAAAAACTGACCACGCGATACGGTTATATGAAGGTAAGATAAAATGGCCAATTAAGTGCGCGGTCACCTTTATACCATTTATGTTCAGATAAGCGGGTAAAGTTGTTTGTGGGAGAAAAGAGAAAAGTCGAAACAACTAATGAACTAAATATTTTCCGTTCAGGACCAGGAACTGATTTTTTTCAAGATTATCTAGTCAAGAATGTGTTCGATCTTATGACAGTGGAAAGAAACGAATGCAAAGTCAACAAGGAATTCCATTATTAATACATTCCCAAAAAATAAATATGAAGAATCTGTTGTCATTTGCCAAAAATAAAACACGGATCGATAACACGACCTTCTAGGTTTGATTCGATGTCATTACCAATTTACCACGTAGCTCGGCTTATCCAATGAATAGTTTGATTTTATTCTTTTTAATCTTATATAGTTATATGGTTTTTTTTTTTTCCCAAAAAAAAAACAATGAAAGCTAGCATTGGTGAGCCCAATTATTATTTTGTTTAAAAGAAACAGCTATATCTTCATAGCTGACATAAACTAATATCACAAAGATACTGCCATTTGGGGGTTAAAATGCAAATTATTATGTTAATGGATACTTTCCAAACCATAGTCAAACACACACACACTAGCTAGGAACAATATACATTGCCACATTGGATCATTCACATTATCTACAATTCCTATTGGTTTACATATACAGATTAATCCATTCCATGCCATAGATGTAATGAGTCTCGGGCACGTGAAACACGTCATCGTCATATCCATCTACTCCAAACTCTCCAAGAAATGGTGGGTCCACAGCTTCCATTGACTGTGACTGTGACTGTGAACTGGAGCTGTTGCTTGGGACTCTGTCAGCACGCTCTAGTAGGCGCTGAATCTCCTTTTCTGCCTCGGAAAGTTGATCCTTAAGCTTCAACACCTACAAGCAATGGTGCCATATGATAGGGATTAAGATGTAACCAAAGATTAAAAAAGTTAAAGGCGCTGTGGTGGGAATATATTTATTTATTTATATAGAGACATGGTAGGTAGGTATTAATTAATTATAGGTTAATGGCGTTTCACGTGGGAACATATATCAATCACGTGTCTTCCGCTTCAAAAGTGGGCCTTGAGCAAGGCCCAACATGAGCTATCCTAATTATGCTGTACGGCACTTATCGAATAAAAATGGAAGAAACAGTGTCTTTTGTTGTCTACTAAGGTGGCAGTTTTCAGTTCCTTGTTAGTGGTGTTTTTTATGTTTTTGTATTTTTCCCTCATTAAGTTTTATCGTATGGCTGAGAACTTAAAGAGGACGATTTGGATTTCTTCGAGCCCAGAGCTCATCTGCACGTTCATTTGGTGGGTCTCAGTTTCAGCTCTTCACTTTTTTTTTTCTTTTTTTTTTCCCTTTTGTTATCTCATTTTCTCAGTTAGTTCTTTTTGCTTTGCCCTGAAGAACCGGTTGCATGCGGGTGTTTCTCTCTTTCAACACTAACGGGATTAAACTAATTAACAGAGAGAGCTTTTTTAAACGAAACTAATAAAGCAACGACTTCAAGAGCTAGAGAAACAATAAAGAATAAAGGCCAACAGAGAAGAAAAGTCGTGACATGCTAGCCCGAAATTGACGTTATCGTTGTGAGAAAGAAAATGCCACTTGCACGTTTTGAGTTCCCAGAAGACTACACCATATATAAAATCATACTCAGTACTGTCCCAACAAGTTTCCTAAGCACAAGAACTATGGACCAATGAACTGGCTCTCGCTTGCTAAATCACGATCTCTTGCTTTTAAATATAGTTTATTCGGAATTATCTTCTCGGGAACTAAATAATAACCTTAGTTTTATTAAAATTCTAGTTGAAATAAAATATGAGAAATTAAGAGAAAGAGGTGTACCTCAGTTTCCAGGCGACATTTCTCAAGCGTGGTGGTTTCATGGGCTTTTTTAAGAGTTGAGTACTCTTCTTCCAATTTTTTGTTCTTCCAACGAGCTCTTCTGTTTTGAAACCAAACAGCAACTTGTCGAGGATCCAAACCAAGCTCCATTGCGAGCTTGTCCTTCCTTTCGGACTCGAGTTTATGCTCATTTCCAAAGTTCTGTTCAAGTAGATTAACTTGCTCTTCACTGAGCTTCCTCTTCTTGTTGGCTTCCGCAGCCCCGTTTTCTCCTCCTTTGTTCTTCTTATTACGCCTGCGTCTTGGCTTCTTCTCCCCTGAAAAAAATATGTATAGACATGGAAAATTAAAAGAAGGCTCTTTCAATTTAATTTATGCAGTAAAATTGTGACGAATATATACAAGAAAATGTTAAAGACTAGTTTGAGCATGGATGCTAACCCTGTTCAGCAATTATTTGAGTGTATGCACCAGCAGGGTATAACTGAGAGATAAGCATCATATGCTCTTCGATATGTCGATGATTCATAGTGGTTTATCTGTATCTTATTAGTCTCTCTCTCTCACTCTATATATATATATATATTTCTTCCTAGCTCACTGGCTTGCTTCTCTTTTATCTCAAGGCCATTTAGATGTTCTCCTTAAAAGGGTGAAGAAATGTTTTTGGAGAGAAAACACGAACCTTCTGCATATTTATAGGCAAAATGATGCTTTTCCTCTTTGTTTGTGTGGAATGATGCGGGAGGTTCTCTTATAAAATGCCCCAAGTTGGGTTCAAATTTGCATATCAATGCCATTCTGTTTTTCTCTTTTATTATTTAATACTTGTCAAGACTGTGATTATACAAATAATTTATACACTTTCTTTCTCGCAAAGTTAAAAAAAAAATAGTTATATTTTTCCCCTTCATTTGTCGGACTACTAAAGAGTTATCTATACAAAGTGTAGCTGGTCATGTATACACACACGAAGGCACTAACTTATAATCATGAAACCCATCTCGTGTCGTTTTGATTTAATGAATGATGAATACAAAATGGAGTAATATTGCAAAACAAGTACAGATAATGGTGGTGTTTGTGTAGCGGAAATCATCTTTAAGTAAAGCTTTCCCGAATAAGTGATTAACAAAGAAACATAGGGTCATAAATTCATAATGGTGTGTGAGAAAAGGACAGATGGTCCTCAACTCAGACGCATACATTTTATTTTTATTTTTATTTTTTGGAGAAAAAAAATGGGGATGGATTGTGATCCCAAAGCAGACCACCTCGACCTTAATAAACAATGAGGAGAGGTTAGCCTCTGGATTTGGACATGTAAGTCACTTTTGTTGTCCAATTGGGTGGTACTCTCTAACTTCTATACGTTGCACTTAAGCCGCACTCATTCGGCTTAGCTCTCTAGCTTTGTGGTTAAGGGCAAGCGTACGTGGCTCGATGAGTGAAGATTTGAGACTTCCATGCTTGGCAATTACAACAACTTCCTCTCAAGCTGTCTCCCATCTCCAACATCCTTTAGGCATGTCGTCATTGTTGACGTAGTTACTTAGAACTTAAAATCTGATTTTTTTTTGGGTAGTTTCGAAACAAAAAAATGATCTATTGATATATGTATCTTATACTGCTCAAGTTATATATATAAATTACTATTATTGTCTACATTAATTATATTTTTAATACTATAATGAACGTAGTTTACGCATAATGGTGCAAATCATGTTTTTTATTCTAATAGCACCTAAATTTTCTCATTGTTGGGTTTTGCAATTCGAAGACAAAAGATGGGGACAGGGACAAGCTACACCATATTGGTACATATATCCAAAAAAAAAAAAAACATATTGGTACATGCGTACTGGGATCCAATAGCGAAACTACATACGAAGTCATACTATCTGTGGTATATATAAATGTGAAAAAAGTCAAATAAAACTAGCTCTTAGTTGCATGGTTTATAAAATGACATTTGCAATATATATATATATTCTACAGTAAATATAAATAAATTATCTACATTCGCTCTCAAAACGACATTGTTTTGGGTTGAAAAATTAAAAATTATAATAAAAAGACTATTATAACCCTGAAATAAATTATAATTACAAAAATACCTTGATTTTCGTCTCAAAATGACGTCGTTTTGGGCTCAATGTAGATTAGTTATCTACATTGACTGTAGAAAAAGTGAACTCATATATATATATATATATGAGACAGGATCATCTTACACCGGTGTAAGAATAATAAATCTTACACTAAATCTTAATCATTGATTTTCTACATTAAGATTTATTAGGTCTCACTCATTAATTAATTTTTGATTCCCAATAAATCTCAACCATTGGATGCACGGAAATCAACGGTTAAGATTTGGTGTAAGATTTATTATTCTTACACTGGTGTAAAATGATCCTGACCTTATATATATATATATATATATATATATATATATATATATATATATATATATATATATATATATGGATTATATTTATCTCATTTTACATTAGATAACTAAATTTCTTATACACATAAAAGATGGGTGGATCCCACTTCTTAACTATTTTCCTATGACATAAAAAAATTATTTTACTATATATATATGTGTGTGTGTGTGTTTTTGAATCGACACAATCACATATACACACGATCAAAATTGAAAAAAAGAGAAAGTGAAGAAAAAAAAGGCAACGATTTATCCTGATTCATCAAATATGGATTATGTCCAGTAATATGCACTATATTTTTCTTACCGCACTCGTTACAAGTCACTCAGTTTAATTAGAAACTCCAAGCAACAAAAGTTATTTATGGGCCCAAACCCAAACTACTAAGAGAATAAAATAAAAACAAAATAAGTTAGAGGCCCACAAAATGAGTCATCATCTGAATGCGAAGTATGAACTAAACCCAATAATATATATATATATATATATATATATATATATATATATATATATATATAGGGATAGAATCAATTTATACTAGTATAAAAATAATAAGTCTTATACCAAATCCTAACCATTGCTTCTCATGAATATAACGGTTGTGATATATTAAAAATTAATAATTAATTAATCACAATTGTTAGATTCATGGAAATCAAGGGTTAAGTTTTGATAAAATTTATTATTCTTAAATCATATCTTAACCATTGATTTTTATGCATCTAACAATTAAGATTTATGGATCATATATAACCCAATAAATCTTATTCGTTGGATGCACAAGTGTTAGTTGATCATGTGTTAGATCGTATAAAATTATTTTAAATTATGATGTTAATCTTCCACACTAAATTCCAAATATCCATTCCATTAAATTTTATTTAGTAATATAACTAAATATTAATTTGTTATCAATGTAATTTGGTTTTCATGTTTAAAATACCTCGATTTTATTAGCTATAAAAAATGTTATTAAAATAATTACAAAAACTGTTTATAATTAAAAGTTAATAAACTTGCACTTCAATTAACACCTATTTAAGTTTTTAAAATTCAATTTGACATAGTATTGAAAAAATCATCCAGGTTCTCGCAGCTGGAATATATATTTGAAAACAAGCATTTAGAAGGGAAGGGTTTCATTAAGAAACGAAGAGAAGAGGCGATATTGAGAAGATTAATATCCAAAGATTTTAATCATTTTATGGAATCTTTTTTAGTTAGTGTATTTATTTTATTTTATTTTTTGGCGGATCCATTTATAGGTAGTGTATTTGAAGTACGTACATAATTGCTGCCCATCTTTTCAGGCTAGTGAATTGGAACTGAATCCTGATAGCTTATGTACGTACCTCATTCTCAATTGCAAAATAGAAAAAAGAAAAGCTAGCTAGGCATCACGTTTATCTGGCTGTGGCACAACACAGGCAAATAACGTGGACGGTGCTCTCTGACTGCATTGTGTGTCACCCGTCACCACTTTATATCTCACTTTCCTTTGTTTCTTTTTCCTACCCCTGGCTGGCTTGTACAAAATTGGAGCGAGGCGTGGCAACAATCTAGTCAACCTTGCGGGGAATATTCAGATTCATTATGCTGGACAAGAAATAAAGCGGGTCCGCTTTGCCTGTCCTTCGAAAAGGGTTCTCTATCCTAAAATGTTGGTTTGATGAACTAGCATAAAGGTAGTATAGCTGGCGGGACGGGATCAATGAATTGGCGAGAAAAAATGAAAAATGTTTCCCTCATATTTTCTCCCTTGCTATCCATTAACCAATTCTTTCCAAGACATCTGTTTCCTCCCATATGCAATGATCAAACTAGCTTAGCTTTCAGGGTTCCCTACGGAGACAGTAGTTGTTGTAGTTTGCAGACTTTCTTTTTTATTTATGGTACAACTACAACCCTCTATCCCCACCATTCATTGGAGACCTCTCAACCCGTGGTACAAAATTGCATAGCTTCCAATCATGTCATTTTTTACAGAAAATTTCCCGTGAACACTAAGGTAATATAAAATAAATGAAGCAAAGTTTATGTATGGGATATATTTTTCTTATGTTGTAGGAAAAGAATTACCTCATGTTGTAGAAATAAAAGTATAAGTGGGACCCACATGTAAGAGGAGAGAGAAAAAAAAAAGTGGTGGGACCCAACCCTTTTTGTGTGTGTAGGAGAGATGTTTATCTCATGTAAAATGAGATAAACATAACCCTTTATGTATATATAATCTTAAACTAATAAAATTAAATAATTTAATCCTAATTAATCATAAAATTACATTTTCGATCATGTTATGTCTCATATTGGTTAAATATAAGGGTAATATATATCTTATATAACAGCAGATCAGTGTTTCTCCCGCAGGCACAAAAAACAATGGCTCTCTCTTGTATTAAACTTTCCCTTTCCATTCTTTGTGGGTCATACTTGTATACTGTGTCTGTACTAGAAGATTTGTAAGTTTGCTTATAAATCCCTAAATATAAAAGTCTAGTACGTATTAAAACTTGAGTCACAAAACTTTCTTAGTCAAATTTTTTTGGCATTGGCCCTTGTGTTGTTAACAACTATATGTTGTTTATACCAGTTATAAACAGTATTAAAATATTTTAAAAAAAATGATATGATAATATATTATTAAATAATAAAAGTAGCAATAACTCATCAAAATTAAACTCAACGACAAAAAGAAAATTTTAAAAATTCACTAATATCTCCTACTCATGACATGAGTTATGAGCCGTTCATTCGTTCGAAGCCAGAGAGTTGAGTGGGACACGAAGCTGAAGCCAAGTCAAAGTGTTTGGAAAAAGTAGCTAAAAGTTGAAGCACAAACCACTGCAGGGAGAGTGAGGGAGATAAAGCCGCATCGTCCATTCCAAAGAGACGCACATGGATGCAACTCAAGGACCTTAACGCGTGTCACCTCCCCTTAAGAACATTAGGGGACCACATACTCTATCCACATTCCACGCGTAAGTTTTGTATTCAGTTAAACACTGTTGATAGCAGAGAGTTCCTGTTCACTCCTCTTCCCCCACCCAATCACTGCCTCTCTCTGCTTACGTTAACTTATTCGAAATTCTACCTACACCAACCGTAGCCGC